GCACGTGGTGCGGAGACAGATTCTCGCCACGTCACCTGGTAGGAGCGACCTGTCAGGAAGGACGCAATCCAAGAGTGAGCAGCGCCGGAGATGCCCAACTCGGAGAGGATGGAGAGGAGGATCTGATGGTTCACCGTATCAAAGGCAGTAGATAGGTCTAGAAGGATAAGAGCAAAGGAGAGAGAGTTAGCTTTAGCAGTGCGGAGAGCCTCCGTGACACAGAGAAGAGCAGTCTCAGTTGAATGACCAGTCTTGAAACCTGACTGGTTTGGATCAAGAAGGTCATTCTGAGAGAGATAGCAGGAGAGTTGGCTAGAGACGGCACGCTCAAGAGTTTTGGAGAGAAAAGAAAGAAGGGATACTGGTCTGTAGTTGTTGACATCGGAGGGATCGAGTGTAGGTTTTTTGAGGAGGGATGCAACTCTCGCTCTCTTGAAGATGGAAGGGACATAGCCAGCGGTCAAGGATGAGTTGATGAGTAAGGGAGAAGGTCTCCGGAAATGGTCTGGAGAAGAGAGGAGGGGATAGGGTCAAGCGGGTAGGTTGTTGGGCGGCCGGCAGTCACAAGTCGCAAGTTTTCATCTGGAGAGAGAGGGGAGAAAGAAGTCAAAGCATAAGGTAGGGCAGTGTGAGCAGGACCAGCGGTGTCATTTGACTTAGTGAATGAGGATCGGATGTCGTCAACCTTCTTTTCAAAATGGTTGACGAAGTCATCCACAGAGAGGGAGGAGGGAGGGGGAGGAGGAGGAGGATTCAGCAGGGATGAGAAGGTGGCAAAGAGCTTCCTAGGGTTAGAGGCATAGGCTTGAAATTTAGAGTGGTAGAAAGTGGCTTTAGCAGCAGAAACAGAGGAAGAAAATGTAGAGAGGAGGGAGTGAAAAGATGACAGGTCCGCAGGGAGTCTAGTTTTCCTCCATTTCTGCTCGGCTGCCCGGAGCCCTGTTCTGTGAGCTCGCATTGAGTCGTCAAGCCACGGAGCAGGAGGGGAGGACCGAGCCGGCCGGGAGGATAGGGGACATAGAGAGTCAAAAGATGCAGAAAGGGAGGAGAGGAGGGTTGAGGAGGCAGAATCAGGAGATCGGAGGGAGAAGGATTTAGCAGAGGGAAGAGATGATAGGATGGAAGAGGAGAGAGTAGCGGGAGAGAGAAAGCGAAGGTTGCAACGGCACATTACCATCTGAGTAGGGGCAGAGTGAGTAGTGTTGGAGGAGAGCGAGAGAGAAAAGGATACAAAGTAGTGGTCGGAGACTTGGAGGGGAGTTGCAGTGAGATTAGTAGAAGAACAGCATCTAGTAAAGATGAGGTCAAGCGTATTGCCTGACTTGTGAGTAGGGGGGGTGGGGGGGGGGGGGGGGGGGGGGGGGAGAGGGTGAGGTCAAAAGAGGAAAGGAGTGGAAAGAAGGAGGTAGAGAGAAATGAGTCAAAGGCAGACGTAGGGAGGTTAAAGTCACCCAGAACTGTGAGGGGTGAGCCATCCTCAGGAAAGGAACTTATCAAGACGTCAAGCTCATTGATGAACTCTCCAAGGGAACCTGGAGGGCGATAAATGATAAGGATGTTAAGCTTGAATGGGCTAGTGACTGTGACAGCATGGAATTCAAATGAGGAGACAGATGAGTCAGGGGGAAAAGAGAGAATGTCCACTTGGGAGAGATGAGGATTCCTGTGCCACCGCCGCACTGACCAGATGCTCTCGGGGTATGCGAGAACACATAATCAGACGAGGAAAGAGCAGTAGGAGTAGCAGTGTTTTCTGTGGTAATCCATGTTTCCGTCAGCGCCAAGAAGTCGAGGGACTGGAGGGTAGCATAGGCTGAGATGAACTCTGCCTTGTTGGCCGCAGAACGGCAGTTCCAGAGGCTGCCGAAGACCTGGGTGCAGGGACCACCAGATTAGAGTGGCAGCAGCCACGCGGTGTGAAGCGTTTGTATGGCCTGTGCAGAGAGGAGAGAACAGGGATAGACAGACATAGTTGACAGGCTACAGAAAATGGCTACAATAATGCAAAAGAGATCGGAATAAAATTGACTAAACATCTGGGGAAGCGAGAAAGCGGGGCCTCCCTCACTTACCTTTCACTGAAACACTCAAATATAACTCTCCCAACTTCCACTATAGAAATTATAATTGTTGTAAACTACAGCGGTTCAATGTTTCTAGGAATAGACTCTAACTTAGTTTATTCAGCTAGCTAACTTGGTACAGTATTCTTCCGTGAAAACCGCCCAGGGCACCGTATCCCATGACGCCATAGCTAACTAGCATGCTAGCTTCCAATAACACACGGTTTAGCACCAATACTCGGTTACAACAAACTACCAATTGTGTGTTAACACACTAAACAGATCATTCGTGTCCGTGTCTAACGTTTTGGGTTAGTTTTGACAGTTTGAGTGAGTACGTCATCAACTTATTCAACCAGTTAGTTAGCTAGCTAGAATAGTTAGTATATTAGCTAGCCATCGCTCTCTGTCAACGTACCAACCCCTCCTCCCATGGTATGAAACAAACAGAAAGCCAAGCTAATGTTAACTAGTCACCAATGTCTTGAATTCCTTTTAAACAACTCTGGTTACCAGTATGTAAAAATAAAAATAAAAATAAGTGTAGGTTATAAACTTACCCTTAGTAGCTACTGTTAGCTAGTTAAGTGTAAAGCTAGCTACTGAATCAATTTAGCTAGTTCGCGTCTGTCCCAACGGAGAGAAAGCGTCTCCAAACGCAGAAGCCCTGTAGGTCCCCTGTAGCTCAGTTGGTAGAGCATGGCGCTTGCAACGCCAGGGTTGTGGGTTCGTTTCCCACGGGGGGCCAGTATGAAAAATGTTTGCACCCACGTCTGCTAAATGACTAAAATGTAAAATGTACAAACATATCTTACCAAGCCAACTAGCTATTTAGTTATCTATAATTGTTTTCGATTAATTCCAAGTTAGGACCAACTGTTCTATTGGTCATCTAGTAGCCAGCTTGTGGGGATAACGTTACTTGTAAACATTATAGCTAGGTCATTCCAGCTGTTGTTTAGTTAGCTATCCAGGTAGCAACAAGCTAGCTACATTTCGAGTACAGTAGCTACTAACTACCTAACGCTTCAGATAATGAGGTTAGAAAAACAGCTGAAAGTGGTACCTTCAGGTGTTTGGAAATTGCTCCCAAGCATGAACCAGACTTGTGGGGGTCTACAATCATTTTTGGCTGATTTCTTTTGATTTTCCCATGATGTCAAGCAAAGAGGCACTGAGTTTGAAGGTAGTCCTTGAAATACATCCACAGGTACACCTCCAATTGACTCAAATTATGTCAATTAGCCTATCAGAAACTTCTAAAGCCATGACATAATTTTCTTGAATTTTCCAAGCTGTTTAAAGGCACAGTCAACTTAGTGTATGTAAACTTCTGACCCACTGGAATTGTGATACAGTGAATTATAAGTGAAATAATCTCTCTGTAAACAATTGTTTGAAAAATTACTTGTGTCATGCACAAAGTAGATGTCCTAACCGACTTGCCAAAACTATAATTTGTTAACAAGAAATTTGTGGAGTGGTTGAAAAATTACTTTTAATGACTCCAACGTATGTACATTTCCGACTTCAACTGTACTTCATGTTACACGTTTCTTCAACAACATCTGGTAACCATCAGTGGGCACTCCCCACTCTGATGGTATCACCCTGTACCACCAAGTCAGTATATTCCATCTATCAATCATTCTAAGATAAACACCAGTAAGCTCCCTCGACATACTGGAATCCTTAGCCTTCAGACTCTGTGGCACCAAGAGTTACCTATCTAACAGATGTAACTTTGTCCATATAACACTATGACAATACGTTATATCAGGGAGGGTGTGTTTGTGTGTGCGCGCGCATGTGTGTACAGGCGAATGCCGCTTCCCTGTGTATGTGCATGCGAGTGCACGTGTGTGTTTGCGTGCGTTTGCATGCATGTATGAGGGGGGTGTCAGCTATCTACCTATTCCAAAAATGAGACATGATGACTGAGGGGGGGGGGACAGCTGCCAGTGTTCCCTCCCTCTGGGGCTCAGCAGCACAATCTGTACTGGGATCAGTGGGTGTGGAGGGGGGACCGGCTGGGGGGGAAATCCTCAGGGACTGTGTTAGCTAAACACTAGCTAACACAGTAAGCTCCTTCGAGAGGAATAGAGGGCTCTTGTGTGTCTCCATCAAAGAAAAAGCCATTGTATAGATGGGCAATGGGCTCTCTATTATCTCATTTTTACATTACATTTTAGTCATTTAGCAGACGCTCTTATCCAGAGCGACTTACAGTTAGTGAATACATATATATATATTTTTTTTTCAAACTGGTCCCCCGTGGGAAACGAACCCACAACCCTGGCGTTGCAAACGCCATGCTCTATCAACTGAGCTACATCTCTATGGTAGGCTCTCACACCACACCGCTGTTGATAGAGAGTACTTCTGAGGTACACCTGGATCCATGCATAGAAACGGAAGGATTCCGAATAATAGATTTTATGGAGCCCATACACCCAGTAGGGGGAGTGCTGCAGAATCAATACCTGGTCATTGATTGGTCAATAGCCTGGCCATCTTAAATGTATAATTTAAAGGAGAACGTTTCCCATGTACAACTCTTTCCCCAACTTACCTTGGCTGATTAGTAATTCCTAGATTAGAGATACCTGTTAGAGAGCTCTTTGAAAATGTCTGTCTGTTTGCAATAATTATCTATTTGCACGTACTCCTTTTGGAGGTTGCAATGCTTTTTGTACAGCTGCTAATAATGAAGAGGCAGGAGATGCAGGAGAGACTGAGATTCCCTTTGAAGAAGAGTGGAAGGAAGAAGAAGTGAAGGAGAAAGAGAGGGGGGAAGAAACTGAAGAAGGTATAACTTGTGTATTGTAGCCTCAGTAGGATGTGTAGTAGTTCTAGTATGTGGGTACTGTAGTTCTGTAGTACTTTGCGTTTTGTAGAGAGACATGCATCTCGGACTGTAAAGGACTACATCTCTCAATGTTCACAGTCACCTCCAAACCCGCTGAAGCAGAGGAAAATGTGAAGAGCGATACTCCATCTAAGATAGAACTAGAGAAAGAGGGAGTGGAGGAGAAAGATGGAGTAGAGAAAAAGGAGAAAAAGTCTGAAAAAGGTACAGGCCTAATTGTTGTGCATTGAATTAAGTGTGTAACAGAACATTCATGTGTAGAAAACTACTTGTTGCCATGTTGTTGTGAATAGAGTAATACACAGTACTCAATAACTTTCAGGTAACGTAAAGAAAAGCGATCATAGATGAGGTCTGTCAAGAGCCTGTGTTATTGTCGTGGTTCATATTAGCGTGCCATTAGCTAATTGAGCCGTAACTATGATGAAGTAGCCACATGATGTGCAGTACAAAGAAACTATGTCCCCCTTGGTCCCACCCTGATGGTAAAACTCTAGTGCTTTTTTCTGAGAGTGCTCATGTCTCACTGGTACTCGCACACAGCCGCCCCGAAACCTGAAGCAGAGGACTCTGGGAAAAGCGAGAAGCCCTCTGGGAAAGAGGAGCGGATGGAGGAGGAAAAGAAGGAGAAGACAACAGAGAAGGAGAGAAATAAAGGTTATGTCTTTCTAGCTGTGTAAAGTCATGTGAAATCATATTGTTTTTCCCACTCTTTTTCTAGCGTGACCTGTAGTTTCTAGTTCATATGGGGGAAAGGGCAAAGAGAACGAATTGTGATGTGTCTGTTTTTCGGACCCTTTCTGATATTCACAGTTCCCCCCCAACCTGAGGAAGAGGGCCCTGGAGAGAGTGAGAGGCCCTCTGAGGGAGAGAGAGAAAAGGAAGAATTGATGGAGAAAGAGAAGGAGATTGAGGCAGAAGGTATCTGTCATTGTGTAGGATTTGATTGGACTTCATTAGTTAGTCGTTTTATAACTCATTGCGCTCCTATGAACTAGACTGGATTCATTAGGTACAATAGTATCATGAATGGATGGATGCATGGATGGATGAATGAATAGATGAATGAACAAACAGAGGACGAAAGAACAAAAAAACTAATGAACAAACAAATGAATGAATGATGTGACCCGTTAGTGCTCACAGTCTCTCCAACGCTGTCACACCCTGACTTATGGGACTCTAGTATGTTGAGTCAGGGTGTGGAGTTCTATGTTGTTATATCTATGTTCTCTTTCTAGGTTTGTGTTTCTATGTTTGGCCGGGTGTGATTCCCAATCAGAGGCAGCTGTCGCTCGTTGTCTCTGATTGGGGATCATACTTTAGTAGCCTATTGGCAATCATTAGTGGTGGGATCTTGTTCCGTGTGTAGGCTTGTTTTGTGTTTAGCCTGAGGACTCCACGTTACGTTGGTTTGTTGTTTTTGTTTGTGTGTTTATCGTTGAAATAAACATGTATGCATTTCACGCTGCGCCTTGGTCTGACCCGTCCTTAAACGAACGTGACAGAAGATCCCACTAAACACGGACCAAGCAGCGTGCCCAGGAGCAAACACCCTGGACACAGGTGGGGAAGATTTGGTCTTGGGAGGAGATATTTGCGGGGAAAGGACCCTGGGCGAAGGTAGATGCCCAGGCAGGAGAGGAGCAACGGCAACACAGAAGGCACCGGCTGAGGAGGAAGCCCGAGAGGCAGCCCCAATAAAACAATTTGGGGGGGCTAAAGGAGTGGTCGGGGAGCGAGAGAGAAGAGCCCCGACCACTGCACCCGGTGGGTTTCCAGGTTGAGTCCCTACGACCATGGGAAGAAGAGTGGGAACAGTTTTATACTGAGGAGTCGGAGGATGACGACGACGATGAGTTTCTGTTCCCTAACTCGTGGGGGCTCCCGGAGGAGTCCTCACTGGAGGAGGATTGCCGAGAGAGAGAGAAGGATCGGATCTGCAGGGTAAGAGAGGAGGCCACCACATTACGGGGGCTGATAGCGAGAATAGAGCGGGAGAGCTCCATTCAAGAGGAGGCACTGCAGGAGGCTCGTAGGGAGAAGGAGGAAGTAGATGCACGGAGAGAGGAGCTGGTTAGGCAACATAAGGAGCGTGGGTTAATTGAGGGACCCATGTATGCGGAGATACGCACTGTATCGCCAGTGCGCATGCACAGCCCAGTGCATTCTGTGCCAGCGCCCTGCACGTGTCGTGCGAAAGTGGGCAGCCAGCCAGGACGGGTTGTGCCGGCTCAACGCTCCTGGTCTCCAGTGCACCTCACCAGTCCTGTACGGCCCGTACATGCTCCTCACACCAGACCAGTGGTGCGTGCTCCCAGTCCGGCCCGGCCCGTTCCTGCTCCTCGTACCAGACCAGTGGTGCGTGCTCCCAGTCCGGCCCGGCCCGTTCCTGCTCCTCGCACCAAGCCAGTGGTGCGTGTCGCCAGCCCGGTACGACCCGTACCTGCTCCCCGCACCAAGCCAGTCGTGTGTGTCCCCAGTCCGGCCTGGCCCGTTCCTGTTCCTCGTACCAGACCAGTGGTGCGTGCTCCCAGTCCGGCCCGGCCCGTTCCTGCTCCTCGCACCAAGCCAGTGGTGCGTGTCGCCAGCCCGGTACGACCCGTACCTGCTCCCCGCACCAAGCCAGTCGTGTGTGTCCCCAGTCCGGCCCGGCCCGTTCCTGTTCCTCGCACCAGACCAGTGGTGCGTGTTCCCAGTCCGGCCCGGCCCGTTCCTGTTCCTCGCACCAGGCCAGTGGTGCGTGTTCCCAGTCCGGTACGGCCCGTGTCTGCTCCCCGCACCAAGCCAGTGGTGTGTGTCCCCAGTCCGGCACGGCCCGTTCCTGCTCCTCGCACCAGACCAGTGGTGCATGTTCCCAGTCCGGCCCGGCCCGTTCCTGTTCCTCGCACCAGACCGGTGGCGCGTGTTCCCAGTCCGGTCCGGCCCGTGCCTGCTCCCCGCACCAAGCCAGTGGTGCGTGTTCCCAGTCCGGTACGGCCCATGCCTGCTCCCTGCACCAAGCCAGTGGTGCGTGTCGCCAGTCCGGCCCGTTCCTGCTCCTCGCACCAGACCAGTGGTGCGTGTTCCCAGTCCGGTACGGCCCGTGCCTGCTCCCCGCACCAAGCCAGTGGTGCGTGTCGCCAGTCCGGCCCGGCCCGTTCCTGCTCCTCGCACCAAGCCAGTGGTGCGTGTTCCTAGTCCGGTCCGGCCCGTTCCTGCTCCCCGCACCAAGCCAGTGGTGTGTGTCCCCAGTCCGGCACGGCCCGTTCCTGCACCTCGCACCAGACCAGTGGTGCATGTTCCCAGTCCGGCCCGGCCCATTCCTGTTCCTCGCACCAGACCGGTGGTGCGTGTTCCCAGTCCGGTACGGCCCATGCCTGCTCCCTGCACCAAGCCAGTGGTGCGTGTCGCCAGTCCGGCCCGTTCCTGCTCCTCGCACCAGACCAGTGGTGCGTGTTCCCAGTCCGGTACGGCCCGTGCCTGCTCCCCGCACCAAGCCAGTGGTGCGTGTCGCCAGTCCGGCCCGGCCCGTTCCTGCTCCTCGCACCAAGCCAGTGGTGCATGTTCCTAGTCCGGTACGGCCCATGCCTGCTCCCTGCACCAAGCCAGTGGTGCGTGTCGCCAGTCCGGCCCGTTCCTGCTCCTCGCACCAGACCAGTGGTGCGTGTTCCCAGTCCGGTACGGCCCGTGCCTGCTCCCCGCACCAAGCCAGTGGTGCGTGTCGCCAGTCCGGCCCGGCCCGTTCCTGCTCCTCGCACCAAGCCAGTGGTGCATGTTCCTAGTCCGGTCCGGCCCGTGCCTGCTCCCCGCACCAAGCCAGTGGTGTGTGTCCCCAGTCCGGCCTGGCCCGTTCCTGCTCCTCGCACCAGACCAGTGGTGCGTGTTCCCAGTCCGGTACGGCCCATGCCTGCTCCCTGCACCAAGCCAGTGGTGCGTGTCGCCAGTCCGGCCCGGCCCGTTCCTGCTCCTCGCACCAAGCCAGTGGTGCGTGTTCCTAGTCCGGTCCGGCCCGTGCCTGCTCCTCGCACCAGACCAGTGGTGCGTGTGTCCAGTCCGGCACGGCCCGTGCCCGTTCCACCGGTGCCGGCACCGGTCAGCTGCTCCACTCCGGAGCCAGAGCAGTCCGCTCCACCGGTGCCCAGTCCAGCTCCGGTCAGCGGATCCACTCCGGAACCAGAGCAGTCCGCTCCACCGGTGCCGAGTCCAGCTCCGGTCAGCGGCTCCAGTCGGGAGCCAGAGCAGTCCGCTCCACCGGTGCCTAGTCCAGCTCCGGTCAGCGGCTCCAGTCCAGACCCAGACGTCAGCCCCTCTCCAGGTTCGGGTTCTCCCACACCAGGGTCCAGACAGGGCTTGGTACATCGTGGGAGGAAGGAGAGGGGAAGCAGTGCGCCGAGGTCCAGACCAGACAAGGGGCGCAACGGGGAGGCTGAGAGAATGTGGTCGTCACGCCCGGAGCCGGATCCGCCTCCGAGGCGGAGTGCCCACCCGGACCCTACCCTGTTATGTCAGGTTTGTGCGGTCGGAGTCCGCACCTTTGGGGGGGGGGGGGGGGGGGGGGGGTACTGTCACGCCCTGACTTATGGGACTCTAGTATGTTGAGTCAGGGTGTGGAGTTCTATGTTGTTATTTCTAAGTTCTCTTTCTAGGTTTGTGTTTCTATGTTTGGCCGGGTGTGATTCCCAATCAGAGGCAGCTGTCGATCGTTGTCTCTGATTGGGGATCATACTTTAGTAGCCTATTGGCAATCATTAGTGGTGGGATCTTGTTCCGTGTGTAGGCTTGTTTTGTGTTTAGCCTGAGGACTTCACGTTACGTTGGTTTGTTGTTTTTGTTTGTGTGTTTATCGTTGAAATAAACATGTATGCATTTCACGCTGTGCCTTGGTCTGACCCGTCCTTAAACGAACGTGACAAACGCCTGAAGTAGAGGAGACGGGAAAACCCTCTGAGAAAGAAGGAGAGCAAGAGGAGGGGAGAAAGGAGGACACAGAAAGAAACACTGAAGGTATCTTCCCTAGATGAGCTGTACATGTATGGAGCTAGTGTGTAGTGCTAGTGAATGTGTGAGTTGGTATATAGACCAGTGCATAGATGTGTATATTTCAAAAGCAAATACAAGATGGAGTACAGTAGATCCTCCTTCAGACATGACCAGTCAACGTGTAGAGCTGTTGATCCATTGAAGCCTGTCGAAGTTGGAGCTACTGGGAGCAGTCAGTCAGACAGCACTAATCAACCTGTAGAGAAATAGATTTCAGATCTCTCACTCTTCCTCTGTGGTGATCCAGAGGAAGTTCTTGAAACCCCTGAATGGGAAAGCTGGGGTCAGGAGACCTTAGAGCCCCCTGGGAGAGAGGAGAAGAAGAAGAAGTGGGAGGAGGAAGAGAGTGAAGAGGAGAGAGAGTATGCAAAAAAGAAAGGTAGAACTCAAGTACTGTACATTGGCTAGTGTGTAGTGTACATACCCTGTAGGCTAGGATCCAGTAGACTCCATCTCTCCCAAGCCATATCCTTAATACTGTATAACTAGGTGATGATGACCAACCCATAAAGTTGAAACTAGCTGGTTTAGAACTGTCCTCAAGCAAGATGTCTGAGAAACTGTTCCATTCCAGGACATTGGGGCTCCGCTCTATAACATCACCCTTTCCATAGTTATAGCTCTATGGACCTACCTCTCTGTACAGTGCATTTGGAAAGTATTCAGACCCATTGACTTTGTCCACATTTTGTTACGTTACAGCCTTATTCTATAATGGATTAAAAATAGTTTTTCCCCCCCTATTCAATCTACACACAATTCGCCATAATGATAAAAGCAAAAACAGGTTTTTACTCAGTACTTTGTTGAAGCACCTTTGGCTGTGATTACAGCCTCAACTCTTCTTGTGTATGTGTCTCTAGCTGTGCCACTAGAGATCCTGGTTCGAATCCAGACTCTGTCGTAGCCGGCCGCGACCAGGAGACCCATGGGGCGGCGCACAATTAGCCAGCGTCGTCCAGGGTAGGGAATGGCCGGCAGGGATGTAGCTCAGTTGGTAGAGCATGGCGTTTGCAACGCCAGGGTTGTGGGTTCGATTCCCACGGGGGGCCAGTATGAAAATGTATGCACTCACTTAACTGTAAGTCGCTCTGGATAAGAGCGTCTGCTAAATGACTCAAATGTAAAATGATGCTACAAGCTTGGCACACATGTATTTGGGGAGTTTCTCCCATTCTTCTCTGCAGATCCTCTCAAGGAGCATCGCTGCACAGCTATTTTCAGGTCTCTCCAGAGATGTTAGATCGGGTTCAAGTCCGGGCTCTGGCTGGGCCACTCAAGGATATTCAGAGACTTGTCCCGAAGCCAGTCGTGCGTTGTCTTGGCTGTGTGCTTAGGGTTGTTGTCCTGTCGGAAGGTGAACCTTCTCCCCAGTCGCAGGTCCTGAACGCTCTGGAGCAGGTTTTCATCAAGGATCTCTCTGTACTTTGCTCCGTTCATCTTTCCCTCGATCCTGACTAGTCTACCAGTCCCTGCCGCTGAAAAACATCCCCAGCATGGAACCACCGTAGGGATGGTGCCAGGTTTCCTCCAGACGTGAAGCTTGGCATTCAGGCCAAAGAATTCAATCTTGGTTTCATCAGACCAGAGAATCTTGTTTCTCATGGTCAGAGAGTCTTTAGGTGCCTTTTGGCAATCTCCAAGCGGGCAGTCATGTGCCTTTTACTGAGGAGTGGCTTCCGTCTGGTCACTCTACCATAAAGGCCTGATTGGTGGAGTGCTATAGAGATGGTTGTCCTTCTGGAAGGTTCTACCATCTCCACAGAGGAACTCTGGAGCTCTGTCAGAGTGACCGTTGACTCCCTGACCAAGACCCTTCTCCCCCGATTGCTCAGTTTGGCCGGGCGGCCAGCCCTAGGAAGAGTCTTGGTGGTTCCAAACTTCTTCCATTTAAGAATGATGGAGGCCACTGTGTTCTTGGAGAATTGTTTGGTATTCTTTCCCAGATCTGTGCCTCGACACAATCCTGTCTCGGAGCTCTATGGACAATTCCTTCGACCTCATGGCTTGGTTTTTGCTCTGACATGCACTGTCAACTGTGGGACCTTACAGTGGGGAAAAAAAGTATTTAGTCAGCCACCAATTGTGCAAGTTCTCCCACTTAAAAAGATGAGAGAGGCCTGTAATTTTCATCATATGTACACGTCAACTATGACAGACAAAATGAGGAAAGAAAATCCAGAAAATCACATTGTAGGATTTTTTATGAATTTATTTGCAAATTATGGTGGAAAATAAGTATTTGGTCAATAACAAAAGTTTCTCAATACTTTGTTATAAACCCTTTGTTGGCAATGACACAGGTCAAACGTTTTCTGTAAGTCTTCACAAGGTTTTCACACACTGTTGCTGGTATTTTGGCCCATTCCTCCATGCAGATCTCCTCTAGAGCAGTGATGTTTTGGGGCTGTCGCTGGGCAACACGGACTTTCAACCCCCTCCAAAGATTTTCTATGGGGTTGAGATCTGGAGACTGGCTAGGCCACTCCAGGACCTTGAAATGCTTCTTACGAAGCCACTCCTTCGTTGCCCAGGCGGTGTGTTTGGGATCATTGTCATGCTGAAAGACCCAGCCACGTTTCATCTTCAATGCCCTTGCTGATGGAAGGAGGTTTTCACTCAAAATCTCACGATACATGGCCCCATTCATTCTTTCCTTTACACGGATCAGTCGTCCTGGTCCCTTTGCAGAAAAACAGCCCCAAAGCATGATGTTTCCACCTCCATACTTCACAGTAGGTATGGTCTTCTTTGGATGCAACTCAGCATTCTTTGTCCTCCAAACATGACGAGTTGAGTTTTTACCAAAAAGTTATATTTTGGTTTAATCTGACCATATGACATTCTCCCAATCCTCTTCTGGATCATCCAAATGCACTCTAGCAAACTTCAGACGGGCCTGGACATGTACTGGCTTAAGCAGGGGGACACGTCTGGCACTGCAGGATTTGAGTCCCTGGCGGCGTAGTGTGTTACTGATGGTAGGCTTTGTTACTTTGGTCCCAGCTCTCTGCAGGTCATTCACTAGGTCCCCCCGTGTGGTTCTGGGATTTTTGCTCACCGTTCTTGTGATCATTTTGACCCCACGGGGTGAGATCTTGCGTGGAGCCCCAGATCGAGGGAGATTATCAGTGGTCTTGTATGTCTTCCATTTCCTAATAATTGCTCCCACAGATGATTTCTTCAAACCAAGCTGCTTACCTATTGCAGATTCAGTCTTCCCAGCCTGGTGCAGGTCTACAATTTTGTTTCTGGTGTCCTTTGACAGCTCTTTGGTCTTGGCCATAGTGGAGTTTGGAGTGTGACTGTTTGAGGTTGTGGACAGGTGTCTTTTTATACTGATAACAAGTTCAAACAGGTGCCATTAATACAGGTAACGAGTGGAGGACAGAGGAGCCTCTTAAAGAAGAAGTTACAGGTCTGTGAGAGCCAGAAATCTTGCTTGTTTGTAGGTGACCAAATACTTATTTTCCACCATAATTTGCAAATAAATTCATAAAAAATCCTACAATGTGATTTTCTGGATTTTTTTCCCTCAATTTGTCTGTCATAGTTGACGTGTACCTATGATGAAAATTACAGGCCTCTCTCATCTTTTTAAGTGGGAGAACTTGCACAATTGGTGGCTGACTAAATACTTTTTTCCCCCACTGTATATAGACAGGTGTGATCCTTTCCAAATCATGTCAAATCAATTGAATTTACCACAGGTGGACCCCAATCAAGTTGTAAAAACATCTCAAGCATGATCAATGGAAACAGGATGCACCTGAGCTCAATTTCGAGTCTCATAGCAAAGGGACTGAATACATACATACATAAGGTATTTCTGTTGTTTATTTTTTAAATACATTTGCAAAAATTTCTAAAAACCTGTTTCCGCTTTGTCATTATGGGGTATTGTGTGTAGATTGATGAGGGAAAAAATTTATGTAATGAATTTTAGAATAAGACTAACGTAACAAAATGTGGAAAAAGTCAAGGGGTCTGAATACATTCCGAATGCACTGTAACATGCAGAGACAGTAGGTAGCCCATAGGCTACATTGTGTGTTCTAGCAGGGGCTGTTTACGTGTTGCGCTGGGGTGCAGACTCAGGTTGGATCTAGGAAACCCATCTAAAACAAAGATTTGTTCATCTCCTAAAGGGATTCTCAAGCTTTTGATCTCAGGAGGAGAGCCTGAGGCCAGACAGTTGTATGGGATCATATACAATGATTTCAAAGGTAAGACACCGAACAAGAATAGCTAGCAGGGGAGTGACTGAGGATGCTTACAGGAGACTGGAGCATCATGGAATCCTGTTTTGTCAGTGGTGCTAGTGGAGTAGCTAGCATTGAGTTAGTGAAGAGTTAGTAGAGTGGTATTGAGTTAGTGAAGAGTTAGTAGAGTGGTATTGAGTTAGTTGAGTAGCATTGAGTCAGTAGAGTTAGTAGAGTGGTATTGAGTTAATGAAGATTTAGTAGAGTCGTATTGAGTTAGTAAAGAGTCAGTAGAGTGGTATTAAGTCAGTAGAGTTAGTAGAGTGGTATTGACTTAGTGAAAAGGTAGTAGAGTGGTATTGCGTTAGCGAAGAGTCAGTTGAGTGGTATTGAGTCAGTAGAGTTAGTAGAATGGTATTGAGTTAGTGAAGAGTTAGTAGAGTGGTATTGAGTTAGTGAAGAGTTAGTAGAGTGGTATTGAGTTAGTTGAATAGCATTGAGTTACTAGAGTTAGTTGATTAGCATTGAGTCACTAGAGTTAGTTGAATAGCATTGAGTCATTAGAGTTAGTTGAATAGCATTGAGTCACTAGAGTTAGTTGAATAGCATTGAGTCACTAGAGTTAGTTGATTAGCATTGAGTCACTAGAGTTAGTTGAATAGCATTGAGTCAGTTGAGTAGCATTGAGTCAGTAGTAGAGTAGCATCAAAGAGAACAGTATGTGGACAGTTTTTGGACATGGTCACTGTCTGAATGACCAGATTGGTGTCAAAAACTGTGGAAAGATTCCTTTTCTCTGCATGTTTTAGTTTTTCTCCTTTTCTGACTGTGTCATTCCTCATCATCATATTGGTATTGTTTGGCTCACAAGGTAAGCATTAAAATGTCGTATTCACTGTCACTATCTTGTCATTGCTATCACTATTCATCACTATTAAAACAGCTCCATTTGCTCCCTGTCCAACACTTCTCGTAATGATTTGTGTCAGATATCATTTCATCCCCCAGATTTAACAACTATCCACGAATATAGGCCTACAAAACCTTCAAAATAACAGTATCTCCCTTGTTACTATTTTCTTTTACAGCCTTCCATAAATAAAGTCCCATCTTGACTTTGCGTACATTTGTGGAACTATGTCCCGGCGCTCTCCCTCTCTACCGTCTGTGGAGTAATTGGGCATTTATATTTAATTACAATGTAACGTTTCTCCCCTAACCCTTATTTTATAGCTGAGAGAAGCATTTTATGTGTGTGTGTACGTGTGTTTGTGTTTGTGTGTGTATGTGTGTGCATCTGTGTGAGTGTGTGTGTGTGTGTGAACGAGAGAGTGTGTGTTTGCGTTTTATGTGACTCTCTTCTCACCGGCGGTTCCCCACTCAAAACAGCTCATCAATATTTCAGCGGCGTCATCAACCAAACAATAATAAAATAATAATGTGATGGCTGATTAAACAGCTAAACTTAGACTTTTAATGTGCATTCAAATGTGTATTTGCATAAACATGCCTGGTAAACGTCTCTTTAGAGGACAGCCATGCCTCGTAGCGCACACACACTGCAGCCGACTTCTAAAGCTTAATAAAACCTTCATTAGGTACAAACCTCAGCCAACAATATCACAGGAAGGAGGAATCTCTCTCTCTCTCTCTCTCTCTCGCTCTCACTCTCACTCGCACACGGAGAGAGGCTGATCTTGAAATATGTGGAGATATTACTGTCTGAGATATTGTCTTGTTTTGAATAAAAATATATACCTTTTTTTCTCTCTCATTTTCGACTTTCCGCATATTAACTTTTTGAAACTTTGGTTGGGGACGCTCTACATTGGTCTGTAAATACATTCATAAAACCAGGTGATTATGATGATATTATTGTATTTTATTGTACTTCCTGGTTTACCATATCAAATTCAACTTAGGGGGCATTGAAGGAAGTCACCCTCTCTATGAGTGGACTGCACAGAGTGAGGATTATAGAACAGACAGTATCATATGTACAAGCAGGTAAAGACTGTGTCCCAAATGGCACCCTATTTCCTACATAGTGCACTACTTTTGACCACAATCCTATGAGCCCTGGTCATAAAGTAGTCCACTACATAGGGAATAGGGTGCCATTTGGGATGCAGTATAGAAACTATAGAAGCATCAGATAGATAGAGAAGAGATTAAGACCTACTGTATAATGGGAAATATAAGTTGTGTCAGGAATGAGGATCTTCTTACACCAGGCCTCTTTAATCTTCCCTGCATTAAAACACAAACAAATCCCCACCCATAACACACACACGGGTGCACACACACACACACACACACACACACACATGCGCATGTATGCACAAAACACACGCAAATAAACATACACACAGGACAACACACACACACACACACACACACACACACACAACCTCCCCCTGAAATACACACACACACACCAGTATAGATTGCTGTCAGTAGAGCTTGATAAAGCCCAGTGAGCATTCACCTGTCTTGGGGAGGTGAGGGAGGGGGTGAGTTATCTGAAGTCTCTTTAACAAGTTGTGAGTCAGACACAAAGACAAAAGGCCTCCTCGTCGTTTCATTGACTCGCAGATGGACAAACACAGGTTACGATATTTGAAGCGTTCCCAAATCGTTCATTTTTTGGTGGTCCAGAGAGACCGTTTCTCAGTGGGATCATCATCTAACATTTCCCACCTAAGCCATGTCTCCACCATACCACGACCTTGCTACAACCATCTCTAACATTTCCCACCTACGCCATGTCTCCATCATACAACGACCTTGCTACAACCATCTATAACATTTCCCAGCTATGCCATGTCTCCATCATACCACGACCTTGCTACAACCATCTCTAACATTTCCCACCTATACCATGTCTCCACTATACCACAACCTTGCTACAACCATCTCTATGGCTCATTATGTAATACGATACCATACAATATACTGTCCATTTATATGGACATTCATTCTTTGAAGTCAGCATACAAACCAATACATTATATTACACATGCAATACAGAAAACACTAGAAAGCCAATACATTATAACACATGCAATACAGAAAACACTAGAAAGCCAATACATTATAACACATACAATACAGAAAACACTAGAAAGCCAATACATTATAACACATGCAATACAGAAAACACTATTAAGTTAATTCCGCCTTCAGTCTCTGTGGCCTGCTGTCCGGCCATGTACTGGATCTACATCTGTCCTATGTCCCACTGTCCTCTCTGCTCCCAGACTGTCCCACTGTCCATCACCTCAACTCTCCTCTCTGCTCCCAGACTGTGAGTGCTACGGCCACTCTAACTCTCCTCTCTGCTCCCAGACTGTGAGTGCTACGGCCACACTAACTGTCCTCTCTGCTCCCAGACTGTGAGTGCTACGGCCACTCTAACTGTCCTCTCTGCTCCCAGACTGTGAGTGCTACGGCCACTCTAACTGTCCTCTCTGCTCCCAGACTGTGAGTGCTACGGCCACTCTAACTGTCCTCTCTGCTCCCAGACTGTGAGTGCTACGGCCACTCTAACTGTCCTCTCTGCTCCCAGACTGTGAGTGCTACGGCCACTCTAACTGTCCTCTCTGCTCCCAGACTGTGAGTGCTACGGCCACTCTAACTGTCCTCTCTGCTCCCAGACTGTGAGTGCTACGGCCACTCTAACTGTCCTCTCTGCTCCCAGACTGTGAGTGCTACGGCCACTCTAACTGTCCTCTCTGCTCCCAGACTGTGAGTGCTACGGCCACTCTAACTGTCCTCTCTGCTCCCAGACTGTGAGTGCTACGGCCACTCTAACTGTCCTCTCTGCTCCCAGACTGTGAGTGCTACGGCCACTCTAACTGTCCTCTCTGCTCCCAGACTGTGAGTGCTACGGCCACTCTAACTGTCCTCTCTGCTCCCAGACTGTGAGTGCTACGGCCACTCTAACTGTCCTCTCTGCTCCCAGACTGTGAGTGCTACGGCCACTCTAACTGTCCTCTCTGCTCCCAGACTGTGAGTGCTACGGCCACTCCTAACTGTCCTCTCTGCTCCCAGACTGTGAGTTCTACGGCCACTCTAACTGTCCTCTCTGCTCCCAGACTGTGAGTGCTACGGCCACTCTAACTGTCCTCTCTGCTCCCAGACTGTGAGTGCTACGGCCACTCTAACTGTCCTCTCTGCTCCCAGACTGTGAGTGCTACGGCCACTCTAACTGTCCTCTCTGCTCCCAGACTGTGAGTGCTACGGCCACTCTAACTGTCCTCTCTGCTCCCAGACTGTGAGTGCTACGGCCACTCTAACTGTCCTCTCTGCTCCCAGACTGTGAGTGCTACGGCCACTCTAACTGTCCTCTCTGCTCCCAGACTGTGAGTGCTACGGCCACTCTAACTGTCCTCTCTGCTCCCAGACTGTGAGTGCTACGGCCACTCTAACTGTCCTCTCTGCTCCCAGACTGTGAGTGCTACGGCCACTCTAACTGTCCTCTCTGCTCCCAGACTGTGAGTGCTACGGCCACTCTAACTGTCCTCTCTGCTCCCAGACTGTGAGTGCTACGGCCACTCTTAACTGTCCTCTCTGCTCCCAGACTGTGAGTTCTACGGCCACTCTAACTGTCCTCTCTGCTCCCAGACTGTGAGTGCTACGGCCACTCTAACTGTCCTCTCTGCTCCCAGACTGTGAGTGCTACGGCCACTCTAACTGTCCTCTCTGCTCCCAGACTGTGAGTGCTACGGCCACTCTAACCGCTGCAGCTACATAGACTACCTGAACATCGTGACGTGCGTCAGCTGCAAGCACAATACCAGAGGACAGAACTGCCAACACTGCAGACTGGGCTACTTCAGAAACGCGTCCGCCGAACTGGACGACGAGGGTGTCTGCATCGGTCAGTCGCTGTGTGTGTGTGTGCATGCGCATGGGGGTGTGTGAGTCGGGGGGGGATGTGTGTATGTGTATATGTGTCATTGTGTGTGTGTGTGCACGTGTTTTCGTGTGTGTGTGTGTGTGTGTGTCTGCATTTATTGCAGAATAATCATTAGGCATTATGTGTGTTACACAAACAAACAGTGTGAAATGTTGATTCACCAAGACGTCATTGATCAAAAATACAGTTTAGCGAGATCAGCACTTCCATCTCCAAACAATACTGCCAGAAAAAACTGCAAAACAGATAAAGACAGTAAAAACACTGACTCACTGAGATAAGACTATTATTCCTCCTGGATTCTCTGTGGAGCTGACTGTAATGTTGATGTAGTCCATCTGCAGGTGAGAGGTGGGGGGCTGGAAGAGGGTAGGAGGGGGGCTGGAGGAGGTTAGCGGGAGGGTAGAAGGGGGGCTGGAGGAATAATAATAATAATAATATGCCATTTAGCAGACGCTTTTATCCAAAGCGACTTACAGTCATGCGTGCATACATTTTTGTGTATGGGTGGTCCCGGGGATCGAACCCACTACCTTGGCGTTACAAGCGCCGTGCTCTACCAGCTGAGCTACAGAGGACCACATGTAGGAGGAGGGCTGGAGGAGGGTAGAAGGGGGGCTGGAGGTGGTTGGAGGAGTGCAGGAGGAGAGTAGAAGGGGGGCTGGAGGTGGGTAGGAGGGGGGTTGGGAGGAGGGTCAGGAGGAGGGTAGGAGGGGGGCTGTAGGAGGATAACCCTGTCACAGTGGGGGGGACACACAGGGCCAGGCTTTGAAGTCAGCACAAATGAGGCCCCATTAGCTCACATGCCAGGCTACTGACACACAGAGACTGGCATCGAATCAATACAGGAGAGAGTGAGAGAGAGTCTTACACATGCATACATACACCAAATTAACTTCACTTACAGATAAATATATTTTCTAACATGCCTGCCTCCCTTCATCTCTTTCTCCCTCTATCCCCCTATCCCTCTATCCCCCTCTCCCCATCTCCCCTCTCCCTATCTCTCCCTCTCCCCTCCTCTCCTTCTATCCCCCTCTCCCCTCTCCCATCTCCCTCTCTCCCATCTCCCTCTCTCCCTCTCTCCCCCTCTCCCTCTATCCCCCTCTCCCCATCTCCCCTCTCCCCATCTCCCTCTATCCCTATCTCCTCTCTCCCTCTCTCCCCTCTCCCTCTATCCCCCATCTCCCTCTATCCCATCTCCCTCTATCCCTATCTCCTCTCTCCCTCTTTCCCCTCTCCCTCTCTCCCCCCTCAACTCATCTATCCTCTCCCATCTCTCATCTCCCTCTATCCCCCTCTCCCTCTCCCTCTATCCCCCTCTCCTCTATCCCCTCTCCCCTCTCTCCCTCCCTATCCCCCTCTCCCTCTACCCCCTCTCCCTCTACCCCCCTCTCCCTCTATCCCCCTCTCCCCTCTATCCCCCTCTCCCTCTCCAGAGTGTAACTGTAACCAGATGGGTTCTGTCCATGACCGGTGTAATGGGACAGGCTTCTGCCAGTGTAAATACGGCGCTACGGGGCCCAAGTGTGACGACTGTTTCCCTGGGTACTACTGGAAACAAGGGTGTTACTGTGAGTATACAGGGGGAGGGGGGAGAGATGCACTTGGGTGTGTGTGTGGGAGGGATAGAGTGTGTGTATGAAATGCGAAATGTTGTAGGGAATATGTCGTGTTCATCCTATCATCCATATCTCCCTCGTTATCTCCCTCGTTAGTAGCATCACCTGCTCCTTTCATTTACACCTTAACTTAACCCTATTTCATGAAGCCTCCTTCCCCCTATCATATACCATAGAGTCAGGGCCATGTCTCAAACACATACAGCCCCTGCCTCCTTTTCTCTTTGAGGCTGGCTTTGGAATCCCTCCTTACTGCAGTTTGTTAGTTAGCCAATTGGGTCAATCAGTAGTGCATAGTGGATCCCATATTTAGATTAACGTGAGAGAGTAAAAACGTTTTCGGTCGCTTTCAGAAACATGCAACGGAAGCATGATTCACACAGAGAGATCCAGAACAAAAAAGCTTTGTCAACATGCCACACAAATCTTCACAAGTCTTTCCGTCACGCACGTTCACACACACACACACACACGCGAAGCATGCACACACGCTGTGACACACACACACACACACACACACACACACACACACACACACACACCCTCTCTCATAAACACATACTACGTTTTTAGGCGAAATATCTTGTACAGTATAAAAACTGCTAGCATGTTCTTCCCCACCGCGTTTACAGATTTTTCATTCAGCCTGTGATTTACAGACAAATAAGACATTTATAAGAGTCTTCTGAACAAAAATAGAGACATTAATCTGATTCAGAGAAAGTGCATGCTCCAAACAAACGGGAAAAAAAGATGGCAGAAAAGAGAAGGCAGGTGTTACTTGTTGCCGAGCTCGAGGCTAGGCTTGGAGAATTCATATCTCTCTCTCTCTCTCTCTCTCTCTCATTTCTCCCTTCTCACTACATTTCTCTTCTCCATCTTGTTCTTTCTGTGGCAAAACTCCTCTTCTCATCTTCCCCCCATCGCTCTCTCCTATCTTATTCCTCTCTTTATTCCTCCCCCATCCTCCTTTTATCTTTCATGGAACCTTGTCGTTTTGCCACTACATCTCCCTCTCTGTCCCGCGTCCCTTTTTCTCCTTCAATCACCTTCCTCAACCCCCTCTCTCGCATTCATCCTCTTCCTCCCTCTACCTCCATCCACACCTTCTATCACTTCCTTCACCTCTCTATCTGCTTCTCTCCCTTTCTCCCTCCTCCCACCTCCTCTCTCTCCCTCCCCCCTCCCGCAGCCAACGTGTGTGACGAGGAGCTGCTCCTGTGCCAGAACGGTGGGACGTGCTCCCAGAACCAGAAGTGTATCTGTCCCCCAGAGTTTAAGGGCGTGCTGTGCCAACAGTCCCGCTGCGAGGGGGACAAGGCCTGCAACACTGCCTGCACCGCCCACCTCCACCTCCTCGTCCCACTACTGCTCTGCGTCCTGCTACCCCACCTTCTGGCCACTTTAACTGCACACTGAGTCACCTGCTGCCCCCTCAAACACAGGGGGAACTGTTGTGTGTGTGTGGACAATCCTTAGAGAGGGAAGATTGGGAAAGGTCTGCAAATACACACACACCTCACTGGCCAGGGGAACGTGTGAGAGTAAAACGGGAGAATGACAGAACAGAGAGAATGACTTCAGAGGAAGATGGAGGAAAATCAGACAACCAACCCCCCTGTCTCTCTCCCTTTAAACTTGAGCTGGAGGAATCTCGAACTCATACCAAAAAGCATAATAATTATTAAACGAGCAAAAGACTGTCCGTTTAACACTTTAAATCACCACTGTTCACTATGAAGAAGATAAGGGAGGGAGGAAATGGCTGATGTAACAAGTACATTTCCTTTGTCTTAATTCATTGAGTTAATGCGCCCCTCTTCTCTTGAGACCCTGCACTTACTGCTGCGGACAGACAGACAGACGGACGGACGGACGGGGAGTGTGTTTGGCTAGACTTGGGGGAGGGCTGGACTGGGAGGGGATTCGCTGCTGAGGCCTAAGTAGAATAGACTGTAAACCAGGTTTCACATCTTCGACTCAAAATGACAGACTTGTTTTCACCTTTTCCATTTTTTATTTCATCATCTTCTTCAGTCATTATTGTATTTTATGAGCCCACCGACAGACGCTGAGATTATACATATAATTGTTACAATATCCAGAGGGTTATCAATATTAAGATTTTTGTCACTATTATGGTTGTTATAGGAATGAGTGTGTCGCCACAGTTTAGCAAGATTTTATCTTCACACAGTATTCAGGAGTAAAACAGAATTTAACTTATCAACAGTCTGAAAAGAGAGAAAAAAAAGAAATCGACAAAGTATCAATATTATATGACATTATTTGAATAGTTTTTGTAGAGATTATTTTTGTTTGGAGTTATAATAAATGAACTATTCCAGAGGAGCATTTTATTACACTGTAAACTTTACAGTAAATGTGTCTGTTTTTTGCTTTTACTTGTACATTATTGATTCAATTCATTCTTTCAAGAGAACAAATGTGTCACTACCAACCAAAACTGGCAGTTATCTACTCCAGAGTGGAAGTGTCTGGGTTGCTGAAAAGTGGGAAAAAAATGACCTTATTTATTGGTAGGGGAGTGGGGTAAATTGAGCGAAAGGATTTGTTGAGCCACCCCTTGTTTTTAGGAAACCGTACACAAAATGAATCATGTGACCAAATATTTAGAAAGAGGTCATCATTTCATAGTCTGTGAAGGAAGAATCTCTGTAGCTCAATTGGTAGAGCATGGCGCTTGTAACGCCAGGGTAGTGGGTTTGATCCCCGGGACCCATACGTAAAAATGTATGCACACATGACTGTAAGTCGCTTTGGATAAAAGCGTCTGCTAAATGGCATATTATTATTATTAAGAATCCACATTGAAAAAGTGGTAAGCAAGTTAGGTAACAGATTTTCACAAAGTCAGATGAATTTATTGTGTTATAGGTTTCATGATGCTTGTGTCTAAACCAAAGTGGATAGTTTTACGATTGTTTTGTACATCAGTTGGGTTGTCTACAAGCTACAATATGAGGTCCTAAACCTAGCATGAAAGTGCTTCCTTGTAGCTGTGTGGGCTAATATAGTAAAAATGTTTGCCTTGGGGCAAGTTGAGCCAATGGCCACCAAACAAATGATTACATTTGGTCAGTTTCATGTTTAATATGCATAGTATTTTTGCAACGTGTCATGCATGTTAACTTATTGTTACAGCGCATCAGGCCCCGTGCATACAAAAGTAAAACAAGCAGGGGCCTACCAGTGGAGGCTGCTGAGGGGAGAATGGCTCATAATAATGGCTGGAACAGAGCCAATGGAATGGCATCAAACCATGTGTTTGATGCCATTCCACCGATTCCGCTCCAGACGTTACCATGAGTCTGTCATCCCCAATTAAGGTGCCACCAACCTCCTGTGGTCTAGCCACCCTTGAGGTTCTTGAGAGAGCAGCCAAGGAAGTGACATAAGAGAAGAAGTACCCTTGAGCAGCAGCAAGGGATGACAAAAGACTGAATGACACTGAAGAGGCACATTGACAAAAAATAAAACGAACATGTATGGTGGCTTGCGAAAGTATTCACCCCCTTGGCATTTTTCCTATTTTGTTGCCTTACAACCTGCAACGATAGAGTACCAGAGGCACACAAGGTCTTCTCTGATGACGGAGTCTGAGCTTGCCAAACATGTAAATCATTTTGCAGACTGATTTCATGGGCTTAGCAGCCTCAAAATGAATTGAATTGGCACACTGAAACAACATCCTTGTCCCAGACAGCTGGTCAAGAAATGGAAAGGTAAGTGATTTTGAACAGAGAGATCTAGATCTGAATATAGGCATACATTTAAGATATACGATATAGCACACCCCCATTCCATGAATTAAACTTTGACCTACCAGCTACATGACCCAATGTCACAGGACATCATCACACACTTACCCCAAGGCGGCTCAATGCTAAACTTACCCCATACCCATACTCTTTTTGGACAAGCTATGTTTTGAAAACTGTTATGTTTACATGAATTCTGATTATTTCCAGGGATACACATCATCCTGAAATACACTACATGACCAAAAGTATATGGACACCTGCTCGTCGAACATCTCATTCCAAAATCATGGGCATTAATATGGAGTTGGTCCCCCCTTTGCTGCTATAACAGCCTCCACTCTTCTGGGAACGCTTTCCATTAGATGTTGGAACATTGCTGTGGGGACTTGCTTCCATTCAGCCACAAGAGCATTAGTGAGGTCGGGCACTGATGTTGAGCGATTAGGCCTGGCTCGCAGTCGGCGTTCCAATTCATCCCAAAGGTGTTCGATGGGGTTGAGGTCAGGGCTATGTGCAGGCCAGTCAAGTTCTTCCACACCGATCTCGACAAACCATTTCTGTATGGACCTCGCTTTGTGCACGGGGACATTGTCATGCTGAAATAGTAAAGGGCCTTCCCCAAACTGTTACCACAAAGTCGGAAGAACAGAATCGTCTAGAATGTCATTGTATGCTGTAGGGTTAAGATTTCCCTTCACTGGAGCTAAGGGGCCTAGCCCGAACCATGAAAAACAGCCCCAGACCATTATTCTTCCACCACCAACCTTTACAGTTGGCACTATGGGCAGATAGCGTTCTCCGGCATCCGCCAAACCCAGATTTGTCCATCGGACTGCCAGTTGGTGAAGCGTGATTCATCACTACAGAGAACACGTTTCCACTGCTCCTTAGTACAATGGCGGCGAGCTTTACACCACTCCAGCCGACGCTTGGCATTGCGCATGGTGATATTAGGCTTGTGTGCAGCTGCTCGGCCATGGAAACCCATTTCATGATGCTCCCAAAGAACAGTTATTGTGCTGACATTGCTTCCAGAGGCAGTTTGGAACTCGGTAGTGAGTGTTGCAATCGAGGACAGACGAATTTTACGTGCTTCAGCACTCGGCGGTCCTGTTCTGTGAGCTTGTGTGGCCTACCACTTTGTGGCTGAGTCGTTGTTGCTCCTAGACTAGATGTTTCCACTTTACAATAACATCACTTACAGTTGACAGGAAATCTGACGATCTGACTATGACGGTGCCACGTTGAAAGTCACTGAGCTCCTCAGTAAGGCCATTCTACTGTCAATGTTTGTCTATGGAGATTGCATGGCGGGGTGCTCATTGTATACACCTGTCAGCAACGGGTGTGGCTGAATGTAAAAAATGGCTCAACATACTCCCCTCTCACCTATGTAATTTAATTCAGGTCAGACATGTTTTATGCAAACAGAAAAAGAGCTAACATGATGATTGACACCAACACATCCAGCTCAGTTGGAGATTGAACCATTGGGAATTATGAAGAACTGAAAGTGAACCAAAAATGGCACCACAATGTCCTAACAATTAGGAAAGCAAAGGCTAACTTTTTCAAACAGAAATTTGCATCCTGTAGCACTAACTCCAAAAAGTTTTGGGACACTGTAAAGTCCATGGAGAATAAGAGCACTTCCTCCCAGCTTCCCACTGCACAGAGGCTAGGAAACACTATCACCACCGATAAATCTACAATAATCGAGAATTTCAACAAGCATTTTGCTACGGCTGGCCATGCTTTCCACCTGGCTACCACTACCCCGGCCACAAGCTCTGCACCCTCCGCTGCAACTTGCCCATGCCCCCCCCGCTTCTCCTTCACACAAATTCAGACAGCTGATGTTCTGAAAGAGCTGCCAAATCTGGACCCCTACAAATCATCTGGGCTAGACAATCTGGACCCTTTCTTTCTAAAACTAGCCGCCAAAATTGTCGCAACCCCTATTACTAGCCTGTTCAACCTCTCTTTCGTAACGTCTGAGATCCCCAAAGATTGGAAAGCTGCCGCGGTCATCCCCCTCTTCAAAGGGGGTGACACTCTAGATCCAAACTGTTACAGACCTATATCCATCCTGCCCTGCCTTTCGAAAGTTTTTGAAAGCCAAGTTAACAAACAGATCACCGACCATTTCGAATCCCACCGTACCTTCTCCGCTATGCAATCCAGTTTCTGGGCTGGTCATGGGTGCACCTCAGCCACGCTCAAGGTCCTAAACTACATTATAACCGCGATCGATAATAGACAGTACTGTGCAGCCGTCTTCATCGACCTGGCAAAGGCTTTCGACTCTGTCAACCACCGCATTCTTATTGGCAGACTAAATAGCCTTGGTTTCTCAGTTCAGTGTGTCAAATCGGAGGGCCTGTTGTCTGGACCTATGGCAGTCTATGGGGGTGCCACAGGGTTCAATTCTTGGGCAGACTCTTTTCTCTGTGTATATCAATGATGTCGCTCTTGCTGCTGGTGACTCTCAGATCCACCTCTACGCAGACGACACCATTTTGTATACATCTGGCCCTTCATTGGACACTGTGTTAACAAACCTCCAAACGAGCTTCAATGCCATACAACACTCCTTCAGTAGCCTCCAACTGCTCTTAAACACTAGTAAAACTAAATGCATGCTCTTCAATCGAACGCTGCTGGCACCCGCCCACCCGACTAGAATCACTACTCTCGACGGGTCTGACCTAGAGTATGTGGACAACTACAAATACCTAGGTGTCTGGTTAGACTGTAAACTCTCCTTCCAGACTCACATTAAGAATCTCCAATCCAAAGTTAAATCTAGAATCGGTTTCCTATTTCGCAACAAAGCCTCCTTCACTCATGCTGCCAAACATGCCCTCGTAAAACTGACTATCCTACCGATCCTTGACTTCGGCGATGTCATTTACAAAATAGCCTCCAACACTCTACTCAGCAAATTGGATGTAGTCTATCACAGTGCCATCCGTTTTATCTCCAAAGCCCCATATACTACCCACCACTGTGACCTGTACGCTCTTGTTAGCTGGTCCTCACTACATATTCATCGCCAAACCCACTGGCTCCAGGCCATCTATAAATCACTGCTAGGCAAATCCCCGCCTTATCTTAGCTCATTGGTCACCATAGCAACACCCACCCGTAGTAGGTGCTCCAGTAGGTATATCTCGCTGGTCATCCCCAAAGCCAACACCTCCTTTGGCCGCCATTCCTTCCAGTTCTCTGCTGCCAATGACTGGAACAAATTGCAAAAATCTCTGAAGTTGGAGACTCTTATCTCCCTCACTAACTTTAAGCATCAGTTGTCAGAGCACCTTACCGATCACTGCACCTGTACACAGCCCATCTGAAATTAGCCCACCCAACTACCTCATCCCTATATTGTTATTTATTTTGCTCATTTGCACGCCAGTGTCTCTATTTGCACATCATCTCTTGCACATCTATCATTCCAGTGTTAATACTAATTGTAATTATTTTGCACTATAGACTTTATTGCCTTACCTCCATAACTTGCTACATTTGCACACACTGTATATATATTTTCTGTTGTATTTTTGACTTTATGTTTGTTTATCCCATATGTAACTCTTTGTTGTTGTGTTTTATCACACTGCTTTGCTTCATCTTGGCCAGGTCGCAGTTGTAAATGAGATCTTATTCTCAACTGGCTTACCTGGTTTAATAAAGGTGAAATAAATAAATAAAAAACAAAAAATGTTTAACTACCCAGAACAAAATGACTGTTCCTAATAGGTCAAAACATGATAGCGGTCTCCACATAGAAAGAAATTCTAGTAAGTATATATGGTTCTCCCACTCAGAGATCATCATCATGGAAACCCGGGGCTTACAGATTCATCCTAATGACACCCTAGGCATCGTGTGGAGTCCTTCATTCGGAGTCGACTTTTATAAATAAATAAAAACACTTCAGTGAGAAAGTAGTTCCCGGTGTTAGCGGTCAGTGACATTGGGCGTAAACTAGAGAACTACAGGTGAAATGCACTATCAATCTGTAAAGGATGAGCACATTTAGACAAAAGCAACACCAACACCTGGGAGGAATGCAAAATAAAGTGGGTGGGTATCAGCATGCAATAAGACAGAAAACACATTCAGCCGGTGTAAAATAAAATCCTGTTCTAGTCTATTGTGTCTGTAAGGCGTCTCTATTCTGGGCTCCGCTTCTGAAGAAGTCTGCATTGTTAACATGAAGGGCAGCGTGATGAATTGAGACATTTGGGGGAGATCCTCTGGGAGATGGGGCACAGACTGATCTGGGTGCAGATCAGAGACCAAGGTGGGAGTTGTCCTGGCTGAACCGCACTGATCTAAGATCAGATTCCCCTACTCCACAGTCCTAAACTCAAGCATTAGGAGAATGGAAACGATGGCCATATTTAGAGCAAAGTTGTACCTACGCCGATCAGAAGTGCTGAAAGTATAGTGGTATGGTGAGAGGAGTTGTGTGTGACAGAAACAACAAGGCCCGACTAATAGTGGAAGTGTACCGTCTACCTGTGTGAAGTGAGATGCATGAAACAAAATTCAAATTTTAGCATTCGATGTTGACCATTATATAACAAAATATAATCAATATAACTGGGCGCTCTCCCTAACAGTTTACAGAGATGGAATCAGCTGATTGTTTGGTGAACAATAATATACAGGGCCATGTTCAGTACGAAAACATTCTAGAACGTTGCAGATAGAAATTCCACAAATAGAGCAGACTTGATTCTTATTCTACATGTAAGAGATGCATATTTGTTCTACATAGCATACTTCTATCTGAACGTTCCAAAAACAATGAGTCCTGCTGAACACGCCCCAGGTGAACGTTGGCAAGAGGGTGCAGCACCAATTGCAAACAAATAAAAGCAATAATTTTGCAGCTTAAAATGAAATGTAAACAATTTTGTTCAATTTCAAATACAAAGGATTCATTTACAATCTTAAAAAACATGAAAAATGTGCATATTTGTTTTGGGTTAAACTGGCGCCGTGGTTTCTTTGGCTTGGAAAAACTAGGACGTTATTTCCCCAACAAACTACATTGCATAGAAATTACTTGAAGAAATTATTTGAAGCATTACCTTCCAAAAATCGGAACACAGGAAGGTATCGTGACAGGTGAAACTCAGAAGGAATAACGCAATGTATACTTACATTTTTATATTTCACTGAAGTTGCTGAGAGCCACTGGAAGTCTGTACTTTGGTTGCAACTTTCAAGGAGGCAGCTGGCCTGAAGTCTAATAGTTGTTAATAATACACTCATATCCCCTAGTCTCTGTCAACAAGAAAGGTATCATAAAATAAGCTTTATTGAGAGAGATTTGTTTCTTCTGTGTGTAAAAAGTAGCTTGTGTTAATGCACAGCGTGATACGACAAATAAAAGTGCATCCAATACCGTACAAACAAAAACACCAAACTAAACCGGCAGAAATAAGACACGCAGCGCTTTCAACACTTCTCTGGGGAATAAAATGGCGGTGAACTACTGTACAACATGTCTCTCTATATAGAAATAAAATGTATTTGTCCCACATGCTCCAGCTAATGTGTTCGCTCAGACTATGTCTGGGGTCCATGTTACAGATTCTATAAAGATACATACATTAAGCAACACAACCAGTCAAATTCTGATCACAAAATGTAACATTTGCCTCAGTTACCCACCATCCTGGTGCTCAACAAGGATGACACTTCAAAAGCAAAATAAACAAATAATTGTCTATAGTCAAATAACTATTGCTGACAAGACATACTTTTGCACTTAATAATATATGCTCTAAGCGGAAATGGTATGCACTTAAAATAAAAGGTAGCAGCCATTCTGTTAAGTGGGCTGTGCTACTAATAAATAACCAGGTATCAAACATGGAGCACCAGAGACATTAGTCTTGGCGCTTTTATAAAGTCCAGAACATTTCTATACAAATGCAGAGTACGTAAGGAAACTAAGAGATTGAGAAATTATAAAATTGTGAACCAAAAAAGAAAATGAATAAAAGTCCAGAAGTCACAGGCATAAACTCACAGGAAAAGTATCAGTGTAATAGTACACGTGCCCTTTCACACAAGGCCCCACCCCCACAAAGGGCAGTTTAATACAGAGAGGCCAGTGGCCAACCCACATATTCAAGCCATAAGTCATTAAACAGCTTAATACAAAAACGATTATATTTATTACAAAAATAAAATTAACCGACTTATGATATAACTATCATATTGCCGCTTGACATTTCTAAAGAATGTCCTGGTGAAAACAGTGATATTGGGTCAAATCCAGACTGTTTGAGAACCAAACTACTCTGAGGAGTAATCTCTCCTTCCTCTCTCATTCCCTTTCTCTGAATATATAAGAAAGCACACGAATAAAAACAAACCAAACAGGGTCAGTGGTCAGACTCATCTCTTCCCCCTCTTGGAGTGGGTGGGAGGGATCCATCGGGTGTCTGGGGCTCGTTTCTGGGGGTGAGTGTGTGTGTGGTTGTTGAAGGAGGCTGTAGCACTGTGGTCCCACGGTGGTCTGTTGACTCAGTCTCCTGGGCAGGGCGCTGTGACAGGTGAATGGTGTCGCTCTCTGTCCATGTCCCTCTCCCTGCCAGCACATCTCAGGTTTTGGTACACAGTGGGGTGAAGCTGCTCTGGGCTGTTCCGTACTCGTGGGTCCCTCTCAGCTCGTGGGTCTCTGAGGTTTTCCACCCGGGAGTCTCTGTAACCCTCCGCTCGTGGGTCCCTTCTGATCTCCGCTCGTGGGTCCCTTCTGATCTCCGCTCGTGGGTCCCTTCTGATCTCCGCTCGTGGGTCCCTTCTGATCTCAGCTCGTGGGTCCCTTCTGATCTCCGCTCGTGGGTCCCTTCTGATCTCCGCTCGTGGGTCCCTTCTCATCTCCGCTCGTGGGTCCCTTCTCATCTCCGCTCGTGGGTCCCTGATTCCTTCAGCTCGCAGATCCCAGTCTGCTCTATGCTGGGGGGCCTGTGGGTGCTGGACTACCAGACGCGGGTCTGTGGGCCTGTCAGCGGCCTGGGGAGGGGATGCCGAGCTGGGCTGCTTGGGGGAGTCCCAGCCCTGGGCGAACAGGGCTGGCTCAGAGGAGCGCCGCAGCCCAATGGGAGCAGCCCTGGAGGCAGCAGGGGGAGGGCCTGGTTCTCTGAGGGGGTTAGACAGGCTCCTGGTCAGCTCCTGCTTGAAGATCTTCCTGGAGACCGTCTTGAAGGTCATCTCATTCGTTGATTTAATGACGTCACGTGTAGCGGCGTCTTTGATAAGCGCACCCCAGTCTTGGTTTTCCTAAGACAGACACACAATCAAAACGAGGCTGGCAAAGGAAATACAACCAGACAGGCCTCCATACAGACACAGATTTTTGACCCAGGAGGAGGACATAATTACCTGGAGTGTCCGTAGATGGCCCAGAATGAACAGGCTAAACTTTGCCCGGGTGATGGTCACATTCAACCTCTGGCGATTCCCCAGGAACCTGTGGGGGGGGGGGGGGGGGGGGGGGGGGGGCACCATAGATGACAAACTATACCCATTACCCAAGTAAGCGCAATACTGGTAGTATGAATACTACTTCTACGTAAAGCATTACATAAATCACATTTGTTATATCATTACCAAGTATAGGGCCTGGCCACATGACCTTACCAGGAAAACTTGTCCACTCACCCGATGCCGCCCTGCTCGTGGCTTGCCCTGACGCAGGAGACGATGATGCAGTCCATCTCTCGGCCCTGGAAGCCTTCCACAGTGTCAACGTCCACCCTGGAACACAAGGCATTTTATTTTAGGGTCCCTTCACACTGCTTGCAGAAAGGAAGCCATTTCATTGGTTCTAATGATTCTGCCAGCTAAGACTAATGAAATGGCTTCCTTTTCTGGCAATTTTCTCTTTACACTAGCAGGGCGAACAGACCCTTTGTGCCATCGGAGCATATCCCTGTCAATCTACTTACCCCAATGAGAATACGCATTTATGGTGCAGCACTTGACTCACGTGAGGTTCTTGTTGACCATCTTGGCCAGCTCGCGGTTGATGCGGTCCTTCTGGGCTTTGTAGGGCGTGATGACCCCCACCTTGACTTGCTGCTTCTCAGCCATCATCCTCAGCAGGATCACTACCAGCTGCACCTCCTTCAGGTTGCTGAACGACCTGGTGACCAGCCAGAAGGCAATCAAACAGTCATTCAACATGTATTCAGTCACAAGCACTTTTTCGTAATGACTTGCATTTGTCATTAAAGGGATTGTTCAGCGAGAGATTGACCTACATGGGGAATTGGACCAAAAATGCTTCCGTTGACAATTGTCGGCCGTGGCTAGTTTAACAAAATCCAAGTGTGGATTGCACTGTCACTCTTACCCTATGAGGTCCAAAGCCTGCTGGTTTTCTGTTCTACCTGATAATGAATTGCACCCATCTGGTATGCCAGGTCTAAATAGGTCCCTGATTAGAGGGGAACAATGAAAACAAGCTGTGGAACTGGCTTCAAGGTCCAGAGTTGAGTTTGAAGGCCCTAGACCAGGGGCGTCAAACTCATTCCACGAAGGGCCGAGTGTCTGCGGGTTTTCGCTCCTCCCATGTATTGATTTATTAATTAAGGTCACCAATTAGTAAGGAACTCCACACACCTGGTTGTCTAGGGCTTAATTGAAAGGAAAAAAACCTTGTCCCTCCATGGAATGAGTTTGACACGTGCCCTAGACTGTTGTCGAGGTAAGGAACAAAATATCTAATCATGTAAAGTCACTGAACTATCCCTTTAACATGAGGCCTACAGCAGAATTAAATAGGATAACTCATAGAACCATGATCCAGAGATTTTCTTACTCTCCCTCCTTGACCTCCTGGCCGTCAGTCACGTCAAACACACGGTAGGGCTGGAAAGGCCAGCCAAAGTTCACCATCCTCGCTGCAGTTTCACTGAAGACGGGAACAAACACAAAATGTAATATTAAACATTTAAGTAATTTTTAACACTTAATATTGTTTAACATTTAATGTTTAACACTTAAAGGAGAATTTTCCGAAGTAAATCTACATGATTTATTTAAATTGACGTTATAGAAGGGTCCAGACACTTTGATTTGGCTTGTTTTTGAGAAACTTACCCCAGCCGCGATTCACTTCCTCATTGCGCAGTATCAGGGCACGCAAAAGACATGAACAAAAGCTACAAAAACACCCAAATACATCCTTTGAAAAACTGACACTCAGTATAGCAATGTATTCTTTCTAACAAACTATAATCAATAAAACTGGGAGCTCTCCCTAACAGTTTACAAACAGAGATGGAATCAGCTGATTGGTTTGGTGAACAATAATATAAAGGCCATGTTCAGTACGAAAACATTCTCGAACGTTGCAGATACAAATTCCACAAATAGAGCAGACTTGATTCCTTATTCTACATGTCAGATGCATATTTGTTCTACATAGCATATTTCTATCTGAACGTTCCAAAACAATGAGTCCTGCTGAACACGCCCCAGGTGAACGTTGGCAAGAGGGTGCAGCACCAATTGCAAACAAATAAAAGCAATAATTTTGCAGCTTAAAATGAAATTATTTAGTTCAATTTCAAATACAAAGGATTAATTTACAATCTGAAAAAACATGAAAAAAGTCCAACTAAGCGCTAACCAGCTGGGATGGCGTATCGCTGCAGAATGCTGTGGTAGTCATGCTGGTTAAGTGTGCCTTGAATACTAAATAAATCACAGACAGTGTCACCAGCAAAGCACATCCATACCATCACACCTCCTCCTCCATGCTTCATGGTGGGAACCACACATGAGGAGATCCGTTCACCTATTCTGCGTCTCACAAAGACACGGCGGTTGGAACCAAAAATCTCACATTTGGACTCCAGACCAAAGGACACATTTCCACCAGTCTAATGTCCATAGTAGTAGTGGTTACTTTGCAGCAATTCGACCATGAAGGCCTGATTCACGCAGTCTCCTCTGAACAGTTTGTTGATGTGTCTGTTACTTCAACTCCATGAAGCATTTATTTGGGTGGCAATTTCTGAGGCTGGTAACTCTAATGAACTTATCCTCTGCAGCAGAGGTAACTCTGGGTCTTCCTTTCCTGTGGCGGTCCTCATGAGAGCCAGTTTCAGCATCGCCCTTGATGGTTTTTGTGACTGCACAAGTTCTTGAAATTTTCCGGCTTGACTGACCTTCATGTCTTAAAGTAATGATGGACTGTCGTTTCTCTTTGCTTATTTGAGCTTTTATTGCCATAATATGGACTTGGTCTTTTACCAAATAGGGCTATCTTCTGTATACAACCCCTACCTTGTCACAACAACTGATTGGCTCAAACGCATTAAGAAGGAAAGAAATTCCACAAATTAACTTTTAAGAAGGCACACCTGTTAATTGAAATGCATTCCAGGTGACAACCTCATGAAGCTGGTTGAGAGAATGCCAAGAGTGTGCAAAGCGGTCATCAAGGCAAAGGGTGGCTACTTTGAAGAATCTCAAATATAAAATATATTTTGATTTGTTTAACACCTTTTTGGTTAATACATGATTCCATATGTGTCATTTCATAGTTTTGATGTCTTCACTATTATTTTACAATGTAGAAAATAGCAAAAATAAAATAAAACCCCTGGAATGAGTAGATGTCCAAACTTTTGACTGGTATTGTAGGTCTTTATATGTTGTACACATGAAATTGTTTCATTCCGAACTTTATCCGCAACGTTATCAATGTTCCCTCTAAGCTGCGCACAGGCGCGCAGTAGCCCCGAGACTGCCACGCAGCTCCCCAGGACTGCCGTGCAGAAGAAATATCAGCCCTCGAAGAGAAGCACGAGATTTAACTTCATAGAGTTATCCCTGTTAACACTATCAATGTTTCCCTTTACTGTGGCAATTGTGTTCTAATCAACGCATTATTAACATACCGAAACAAAATGAACTATGCAAGAGATTTTGTTGTAGGCAGAACACATCAGAGTTGTATTCTATTGCGCACAACTCTGCCGGTACTCTACACAGACCAGAGCGGCATAACCAATCAGAGCTGCAGTAGGCCTATATGCAAGTAGATCATTGCCATATATGGATCTGTGCCATTTACTTTGAACTGGACTGTGTTTACAGCATGAGCAGTCTTGAGTAGATGCACTTGTTTTGAGATCAAAGCAAGAGCTGCATGTAGCCACGTGTGCACATTTTGTTCATATCCTTTGCTAGTTAGTGAGTTATTACCCAAGTTACACTGAGAGCGTGTAAGTTTAAAAAATGTATTTTGCGTGCCCTGATACTGCACAATGAGTAAGTGAATCGCGGCTGGGGTATTAGGAGTTGGAGTCGTCGGGTGAGGTTGTCTCTCTCTCTGGCGGGAGGTAAGCTTGGCTTATATGGTGTCGAGTAAAGCTTAAACCATGTATTTAGATTGTAGTTCGGTATTGTAGGTAGTTTATCTAGGTAGTTATTGTAGGTAATTATTGTAGGTAAGTATTGTACTCGGCTGAGCCCGGTGAAGCACGAGGCTAGCTAATCCACTACCTCTCCTCTTCCATCCTATCATCTCTTCTCTCTGCTCAATCCTTCTCCCTCCAATCTCCTGATTCTGTCTCCTCAACCCTCCTCTCCTCCCTTTCTGCATCCTTTGACTCTCCATGTCCCCTATCCTCCCGGCCGGCTCGGTCCTCCCCTCCTGCTCCGTGGCTTGACGACTCATTGCGAGCTCACAGAACAGGGCTCCGGGCAGCCGAGCGGAAATGGAGGAAAATTAGACTCCCTGCGGACCTGGCATATTTTCACTCCCTCCTCTCTACATTTTCTTCCTCTGTTTCTGCTGCTAAAGCCACTTTCTACCACTCTAAATTCCAAGCATCTGCCTCTAACACTAGGAAGCTCTTTGCCACCTTCTCCTCCCTGCTGAATCCTCCTCCCCCTCCCTCCTCCCTCTCTGTGGATGACTTCGTCAACCATTTTGAAAAGAAGGTTGACGACATCCGATCCTCGTTTGTTAAGTCAAATGACACCGCTGGTCCTGCTCACACTGCCCTACCCTATGCTTTGACTTTTCTCCCCTCTCTCTCCAGATGAAATCTTGCGACTTGTTACGGCCGGCCGCCCAACAACCTGCCCGCTTGACCCTATCCCCTCCTCTCTTCTCCAGACCATCTCCGGTGACCTTCTCCCTTACCTCACCTCGCTGATCAACTCATCCTTGACCGCAGGCTATGTCCCTTCCGTCTTCAAGAGAGCGAGAGTTGCACCCCTTCTCAAAAAACCTACACTCGATCTCTCCGATGTCAACAACTACAGACCAGTATCCCTTCTTTCTTTTCTCTCAAACTCTTGAGCATGCCGTCTTTAGCCAACTCTCTTGCTATCTCTCTCAGAATGACCTTCTTGAGCCAAACCAGTCAGGTTTCAAGACTGGTCATTCAACTGAGACTGCTCTTCTGTGTCACGGAGGCTCTCCGCACTGCTAAAGCTAACTCGCTCTCCTCTGCTCTTGTCCTTCTAGACCTATCTGCTGCCTTTGATACTGTGAACCATCAGATCCTCCTCTCCACCCTCTCGGAGTTGGGCATCTCCGGCGCGGCTCACTCTTGGATTGCGTCCTACCTGACAGGTCGATCCTACCAGGTGGCGTGGCGAGAATCTGTCTCCACACCACGTGCTCTCACCACTGGTGTCCCCCAGGGCTCAGTTCTAGGCCCTCTCCTATTCTCGCTATACACCAAGTCACTTGGCTCTGTCATATCCTCACATGGCCTCTCCTATCATTGCTACGCAGACGACACACAATTAATCTTCTCCTTTCCCCCTTCTGATAACCAGGTGGTGAATCGCATCTCTGCATGTCTGGCAGACATATCAGTGTGGATGACGGATCACCACCTCAAGCTGAACTTCGGTAAGACGGAGCTGCTCTTCCTCCCGGGGAAGGACTGCCCGTTCCATGATCTCGCCATCACGGATGACAACTCCATTGTGTCCTCCTCCCAGAGTGCAAAGAGCCTTGGCGTGACCCTGGACAACACCCTGTCGTTCTCCGCTAACATCAAGGCGGTGACCCGATCCTGTAGGTTCATGCTCTACAACATTCGCAGAGTACGACCCTGCCTTACACAAGAAGCGCCACAGGGCCTAATCCAGGCACTTGTCATCTCCCGTCTGGATTACTGCAACTCGCTGTTGGCTGGGCTCCCTGCCTGTGCCAATAAACCCCTACAACTCATCCAGAACGCCACAGCCCGTCTGGTGTTCAACCTTCCCAAGTTCTCTCATGTCACCCCGCTCCTCCGCACACTCCACTGGCTTCCAGTTGAAGCTCGCATCTGCTACAAGACCATGGTGCTTGCCTACAGAGCTGTGAGGGGAACGGCACCTCCGTACCTTCAGGCTCTGATCAGTCCCTACACCCAAACGAGGGCATTGCGTTCATCCACCTCTGGCCTGCTGGCCCCCCTACCTCTGCGGAAGCACAGTTCCCGCTCAGCCCAGTCAAACTCTGGCACCCCAATGGTGGAACAAGCTCCCTCACGACGCCAGGACAGCGGAGTCACTCACCACCTTCCGGAGACACTTGAAACCCCACCTCTTTAAGGAATACCTGGGATAGGATAAAGTAATCCTTCAACCCCCCCTTACCCCACCCCAAAGGAAAAAAATTATATATATAATAATAATAATAATAATAATAATAGTAAAGTGGTTGTCCCACTGGCTATCATAAGGTGAATGCACCAATTTGGAAGCGTCTGCTAAATGACGAAATGACTGCTAAATGACGAAAATGTAAATGTAAAATGGTAAGTTTCTCAAAAACAAGCCAAATCTCACACACAAAAAGTAGTGTCTGGACCCTTCTGTTAACAAATCATTTACATTAAAAAAATAGATTTACTTCAGAAATAGGAACAGACGCCTTTAATAAATTTAGCACTGTGTACACCAATACACTCAAACATAAATTGTGTTCAATGACAGGTGCACTATGTGGTAATTAAATATTTGTTCACAATCTCTCCAGCTTTAGGAACATGAAAACACGACAACTACACCATTCAATTAACTGAATCAAGTCATTTTGTTGAAAAGGAGTAGGCGGGAAGAGGAACCTACTCGTCAGTTTTAAGGGCCTTGCGGTAGATGTGCTTGGAGGGGAACTCGCAGATGTCGGGGTGCATGCGGTACTGGTAGCTAAGGAAGACCACAGGGCTGGGCATCTTGTTCTCCTTACAGTAGTGATCCAGGTTGGTCACCAGCCGAGCCATCAGGGACTGGCCATACTTCAACTCCTTCGCTGTCTGACAGAAGATAGATCATAGCATTAAATGGAACACTTAATCTACCTAACACTAAACATTTTAATATATAAACAAACAGCCAGGGGAACACAATGAAAATACACAGTTAATGTTTCACCGTCAGTCAGAATCATTGAACTGAGAAGTGTTGAAAGAAAGATTCACATGAGTAAGAATCTCTTGCAGGTGTATTTTCAGGTAGTGAAAGTGAGAGCTGCAGTACCTGGGAGATAACCGTAGGTGGCAGCTGATGGGGGTCTCCCACCAGGATGAGGGCATTGCACTGGTAGAGCATTGGGATAAGAGTCTCCGTCTCGGTGGCCTGCCCTGCCTGCACCACACAAAGAAATGTCTTGAAATAAATAAAGGCTCTTTGTTCCTCACATTCATACTGAGACAGTGTGAGGGTGTTTTCAGATATAGCAGGGCTTTATGCTGACATTTTATTTTTTTACAAGTAGCACGTGCTACTAAATTGAAACATTTAGGAGCACAAGAGTGTTTTAATGATAAGAAAATGACTAAACGTTCATGAATAAAAAGGTTTTTGGAGTGTTCCATGCTCAATCAAGGACAATGTACCCTCAAATATTTGAGTCTCTTAGGTGAGACATTTTCAGCTAACCCTTCAAGGGGCGGGACATTACCGTGGTAACGGTACGACTGCATGTCTGTCAGAGAGATGAGATTATCCGACGTGTCTCTTCACTAGCAGTTGAGCAAGCTCAAACTAACACTTTAGCAGACTTTGCGGTAAATTCTACCAACTTCTATGCCTGCGCGCGTCTAAAAAATGAATCTTACAGCACTTCACTCCCAGTGTGCATAGCCCACCAACAGGCAATGTTGCTGCGCTTGGGGGGCTGCTATATGGGAATTCATAGTTCTTTGTGCGATTAGCTACCAACTATGAAACAAAAACGGCAGAAATACTTTGAAAATAGCTACAGCAGCAATTTATTTGGTGCTATAAATCACAACTCGCACATACTTTACTTTTTCAGTTCGCACATTTATTTTTAGGCACATATCTGCGTAAAATGGTCACATTGTAGAGCCCTGTATAGTCCTCTTTAAAATAACCAATCTCAGTCCTCTTTAAAGTGAACTCAGGGGTGAAAAAAACCCCAAAAGAACTCCGTTATCTTTGAATTCACACTGCCCTTGCCTTTAAATGAGAACTCTGCCAGTTCACTTCAACTATTTTGTGGACCAAATCCTCTTTGCATTCACATTGCTATGCTTAGAAAGGAACCAAGACCTTTTTCCAACATTTACTCAATGCACTCTTGGTAATTATACTATATTAGCCATTCCATCAGAACCTGTTATTGAACAGCCAGGGATATACCTACTTACATTTTGGAAGCTAATAGATTGCATTTAGTTAAAAGATAAAACAATTATAATCAAGATAATATTTACATGTAAATATTATTGGTAAGAGGATAAATAGCAGAAGCATAACTACAGATTAAATAATGCTGATATTGAAAATTGTACTACCAACGTCGGCTACTGCCCCTTTAAGAGCTCGCATTGATTTTGTACCTCATGTTGTGATTCTCACCAAATATGTTGTAGTCTTCTCACATTATTCAAACCCATAAATCAGATAAATAGCCTATGAAGCTCTTTTGTAGCCTCCACACATATTTTGGCATCTCTGTGATTCCTTGACAATCACTAATCAATGTCCAACAACGGCACACATTTTTTTTCTGCAAACCTGCACATCATCTTCTCTCATTTGTGGCACCAATGTAAGTTGTTATGGCAGGTTATGGATGTTGCAGTAGCCTAGTGTGGTGTGGGAATAATGACAAGTGAACCTGGAGAGCTTTGTGTTCACATTGCACCAAAAAAGGGAACAGGACCACAGACTTCAAGCGAACCGAACTCAAACCACCTCTTCAGTTCGGGGGATCTTTTGAGGGGTCTTAGTTCCTGCATAAAAATGTAAGCGCACCACACTGATTTCACAAAAATTGTCTGATAGGGACCAAGTGTGAAAATCCCCCAAGAGAGTAAAATCAAAATGTGCAAAACAGGGTTTTATCAATCTTGATCCTGGGTTCCACAACACTTTAGCTATTCCAACCCAGTACCAACACATCTTATTCAACCAATCAATCACTTTGGTGAATCAGGTGTGTTACAGCACAGGGCCGGAACAAAAGCTTACACACCGTGCATCTCCAGGACCACTTGGGTAGATGGAACAACTATTGAAATGCAGCCAAAGTATAGGCGCTCCAAATTCTGACCTCGTCCACGATGACGCAGCTAAAGGGCTTGTGTCCCAGGCGCCGAAAGGCCGACTCCAGGACGGTGCTGCCGCTGGAGCTCAGGGTGCAGCAGACCACATGGGCATCCTGCAGTACCCGGGCCTGGGTCTCCTGCTTCCTACTGCGAGACTGATAGTGGGAGGAAGAGAGAAAAGTGTAGAGAATGAGTTTGACAGAAAGAGAAGAGAAAGCAAGCGAGTAATGAGAGAAAGAAGCATTTCTAATTAGACTTCTTTCCCCTCAAAGCTGTTTTTTTTCCTCTCTCTTTTCTCTAATCCATCCTGAATAATAATAACTCTCCTCTCATCTAATGAGCCCTTATACACATGACAACGTTGCTAACATCATCTATGTATATAATGGTCATGTGATAGAGGGCTTTACCTGTTTGAGCTGGTAGCCGAGTGTCTTTCTCTCTTGGAGCAGTCTGGACTTCTGCTCTGCCAGCTCATGGTACTACACACCAGCAAATGAAGGAAAAGACTAAACATGAAAAACAACTCTGAAAAATTTTAAACACGTCGGCATGCTATCCCATATTTTTAAAGGTATTTCTTTAAGGAGTGGGGCAATCCCACTACTTTAGCAATTTCTAAGCTTTATTGAAGAGATAGCTAAGTGTTGGAAAGACGAGGGAGATTGAAAGAGGGTGAGTCAAAGGGCAGGATTCGAACCCATGCCGACTGTAACCGCATGTCTGAACAGAGGCCCATAATTAAAGTAAGAGCCCACAGTGTATGAAATTAGCTTTGGGTAGTTTGGGTAACTGTAGGTGTGTGACCAGCCTTCTGGCAGCCTCTGCTGGGGGAAGCATGTATGTACCATTTCCTCATTCTTCTGCAGTTTGGGCAACATCTTGGAGATCTTGTCTATGTTCTCATCCAGCTGCGCTATGCGTCTGTGGACGTCTGAGTCCTGTGACATCAGGGCCTTTTCTGCAGGAGAAAATGGACAAAACACATGAGTGTGCTTTTTATGAGGTGATTTGAGGGAGGGAGGGAGGTGTGTGCGTTTTTGTGCCCGCGTACACTCTCCAGACTCACGTGTTTTGTTTTTCACCTGACTGTCCAGGCTAAAAGGTTTCAGATTCTTGGAGATGGTTCTGTCGTTCCCGAGCCTCACCAGATTGATGTCCCCACAGTTACCTTTAAGAAAGCCATCCAGGACAATGTCAACTTCACCATATCAGTTCCGTGAAACAATCATTTGTGGTTGAATTGCCTTGTAACTTTTAACCCATTTAATTTTTCCATCTATTCACAGTTCACCAATTCATTGAGTATTTCCATAGTTGAGGTAGCATACCCTGGATGTTCTTGCACTTCTCTTTGAAGACCAGGATAATCTTCTTCATCAGGTTGTCGATGGCGGCGTTGGACGGGGCGCACAGGAGGACCCGCGTGCGGCGAGGTTTAGCTTGCCTGTTCACTGGAGGAGCCATACTCTGTACTCCCTGGAGATGGTTATGAGAGGAGAACAGGGAATTATATGAAAGTTTGAATTTCACAATGCCTTTAAGCCAAGGTTGTTCAATAGGAAAGAAAATGGAGCGAGCTGAGAAAATACACACTACAGAACACTAGAGCAAAAGAAACGCTCATTTTTGTTTTTGAAAATGTCTCCCCTTGTGTCTAATGACCTTAGCCCAGGGTTGTACGACAAAACAATGTCCAGAAACAAGGCAAACAGCGTACCTCAGAGAACAGCGTTTGCAGCAGGCCCACAATAGTTTTGCTCTTTCCCGTTCCTGGGGGTCCGTGTATCAGGCAGATTTTTGGGGTGAGTTGCTGGTTCCTGATAACAGACATACCGGTTCTCACCGCCCTCACCTGGTCTGGGTTGTAACCCTGGGCCAAACACATCATACAGACATACTGTTTACATGTATACAAGGCCATTTTCACACATGTAAAGGCCACCTGAAATTAAACAAAACATATACAATTGGCCATGTCACATTTACAAGTCAAGTCATAAATCCTTTGTTATCCAATAGTTCCACAAAGGAATAACTTCACTTTTAAACCTCACACACTCCCTTTTCAAATGCATATTATAAATGGGGGGGGGGGGGGGGGGGGGAACAGGTGTTTCTTACAGGCAGGTTGAGGCTGGGGATGACCTCCGGGCCAGGTTGGAAGTAGGAGACCTGTGGGGCCAGGATGGGCTTGAGCATAGAGCTGCCATTGAGCTGACAGATTGCCCTGAAAACCCTCATGGTGCTGACCAGGGAGTCCACCACATCACAGCGCACTGCTTGCTTGTTCGCCATCGTCACATTCCCCAGGGTCTTTATCATCAGGTTCAGCGTTGGGCACTGGCCTGAAGAGAAATACATCACACCAAGCTTTAGATAAAGTGCATTTAAAATGAAATCAACACACTTAACAGTAAAACAATACAGTACTCTATTACAAGTAAAGCAATATAGTAAAATAATACAATGGATAGTTAAGCAATAAGGCCCGGGGGGGTGTGGTATATGGCCAATATACCACGGCTAAGGGCTGTTCTTAAGCGCGACGCAATGCGGAGTGCCTGGACACAGCCCTTAGCTGTGGTACATTGGCCACAAACCCACGAGGTGCCTTATTGCTATTATAAACTGGTTACCAATGTAATTAGAGCAGTAAAAATAAAGGTTGTCATACCCGTGGTATACGGTCTGATATACCACGGCTGTCAGCCAATCAGCATTCAGGGCTCGAACCACCCAGTTTATAAATGCATATACAGGTAAAAGTCAGTAAATTAGAATATTTTGAAAAACTTGATTTATTTCAGTAATTGCATTCAAAAGGTGTAACTTGTACATTATATTTATTCATTGCACACAGACTGATGCATTCAAATGTTTATTTCATTTAATTTTGATGATTTGAAGTGGCAACAAATGAAAATCCAAAATTCCGTGTGTCACAAAATTAGAATATTGTGTAAGGGTTACATTTTGAAGACACCTGGTGCCACAAAATAATCAGCTGATTAACTCAAAACACCTGCAAAGGGCTTTAAATGGTCTCTCAGTCCAGTTCTGAAGCCTACACAAACATGGGGAAGACTTCAGATTTGACAGCTGTCCAAAAGGCGACCATCGACACATTGCACAAGGAGGGAAAGACACAAAAGGTTATTGCAGAAGAGGCTGGCTGTTCTCAGAGCTCTGTGTCCAAACACATTAATAGAGAGGCAAAGGGAAGGAAAAACTGTGGTCAGAAAAAGTGTACAAGCGATAGGGATCACCGCGCCCTAGTCAAGATTGTGAAAAAAAACCCATTCAAAAATGTGGGGGAGATTCACAAGGAGTGGACAGCTGCTGGAGTCAGGGCTTCAAGATCCACCACCAAGAGACGCTTGAAAGACATGGGTTTCAACTGCCGCATACCTCGTGTCAAGCCACTGTTGACCAAGAAACAGCGCGAAAAGCGTCTCACCTGGGCTAAGGAAAAAAAGAGCTGGACTGCTGCTGAGTGGTCTAAAGTCATGTTTTCTGACGAAAGCAAATTTTGCATTTCCTTTGGAAATCGAGGTCCCAGAGTCTGGAGGAAGACAGGAGAGGCACAGGATCCACGTTGCCTGAAGTCTAGTGTAAAGTTTCCACCATCAGTGATGGTTTGGGGTGCCATGTCATCTGCTGGTGTCGGTCCACTCTGTTTCCTGAGATCAAGGGTCAACGCAGCCGTCTACCAGCAAGTTTTAGAGCACTTCATGCTTCCTGCTGCTGACCTGCTCTATGGAGATGGAGATTTCAGGTTCCAACAGGACTTGGCGCCTGCACACAGCGCAAAATCTACCCGTGCCTGGTTTACGGACCATGGTATTTCTGTTCTAAATTGGCCAGCCAACTCCCCTGACCTTAGCCCCATAGAAAATCTGTGGGGTATTGTGAAAAGGAAGATGCAGAATGCCAGACCCAACAACGCAGAAGAGTTGAAGGCCACTATCAGAGCAACCTGGGCTCTCATAACACCTGAGCAGTGCCAGAAACTCATCGACTCCATGCCACGCCGCATTAATGCAGTAATTGAGGCAAAAGGAGCTCCAACCAAGTATTGAGTATTGTACATGCTCATATTTTTCATTTTCATACTTTTCAGTTGGCCAACATTTCTAAAAAATCCCTTTTTTGTATTAGCCTTAAGTAATATTCTAATTTTGTGACACACGGAATTTTGGATTTTCATTTGTTGCCACTTCAAATCATCAAAATTAAATGAAATAAACATTTGAATGCATCAGTCTGTGTGCAATGAATAAATATAATGTACAAGTTACACCTTTTGAATGCAATTACTGAAATAAATCAAGTTTTTCAAAATATTCTAATTTACTGACTTTTACCTGTATATGATGAAGATGCATGGACAGAGGTAACTCTGAAGTTACGTCATGTTTTTCTATCAGCTATCCTCTTTAAAGGGATAGTCCGTGATTGTGGCAATTAAGCCCTTTTTCTACTTGCCCAGTCAGATACAGTCATGGATACCATTTTTATGTCTCTGCGTGCATTTTGAAGGAAGTTTGCGCAATGACTGGAAGTCTCCCAGAGTTAACGCTACTTAGCAATGGCTTGCAAAACTACCTTCAAAATGGTCCAGAGGGGTATACTATAAAGCAGGATAAAATGAGTTAGCCAGCTTAGTTGACTAAATATTCTGATATGACTTTATATTTTATAGAAAGATAAGCTTGAAATGGGCATGGGCTAACTGATTTAACAAATGAAAAGACACAAGTTTAGCTTTTTTAAATGAACCATCAAATCAATAGTTATTGGTGGTTGCTTATCAAAGTTAGATTGCTAACATTGATTATCCTTTGTAGAATACCCCTATGGGTAAAATGACTGGCCCCTCTAATTGAAGCCACGGTAGTTCAAGGCCGAACACTGTACTTGTAGGAATTGACAGCAAAAAACAAGATCCCCATTATAGTGAATGGAAAAATGGCTCTCATTACATACAGTGGGGAGAACAAGTATTTGATACACTGCCGATTTTGCAGGTTTTCCTACTTACAAAGCATGTAGAGGTCTGTAATTTTTATCATAGGTACACTTCAACTGTGAGAGACGGAATCTAAAACAAAAATCCAGAAAATCACATTGTATGATTTTTAAGTAATTAATTTGCATTTTATTGCATGACATAAGTATTTGATACATCAGAAAAGCAGAAATTAATATTTGGTACAGAAACCTTTGTTTGCAATTACAGAGATCATATGTTTCCTGTAGGTCTTGACCAGGTTTGCACACACTGCAGCAGGGATTTTGGCCCACTCCTCCATACAGACCTTCTCCAGATCCTTCAGGTTTCGGGGCTGTCGCTAGACAATACGGACTTTCAGCTCCCTCCAAAGATGTTCTATTGGGTTCAGGTCTGGAGACTGGCTAGGCCACTCCAGGACCTTGAGATGCTTCTTACGGAGCCACTCCTTAGTTGCCCTGGCTGTGCGTTTCGGGTCGTTGTCATGCTGGAAGACCCAGCCACAACCCATCTTCAATGCTCTTACTGAGGGAAGGAGGTTGTTGGCCAAGATCTCGCGATACATGGCCCCATCCATCCTCCCCTCAATACGGTGCAGTCGTCCTGTCCCCTTTGCAGAAAAGCATCCCCAAAGAATGATGTTTCCACCTCCATGCTTCACGGTTGGGATGGTGTTCTTGGGGTTGTACTCATCCTTCTTCTTCCTCCAAACACAGCGAGTGGAGTTTAGACCAAAAAGCTCTATTTGTCTCATCAGACCACATTACCTTCTCCCATTCCTCCTCTGGATCATCCAGATGGTCATTGGCAAACTTCAGACGGGCCTGGACATGCGCTGGCTTGAGCAGGGGGACCTTGCGTGCGCTGCAGGATTTTAATCCATGACGGCATAGTGTGTTACTAATGGTTTTCTTTGAGACTGTGGTCCCAGCTCTCTTCAGGTCATTGACCAGGTCCTGCCGTGTAGTTCTGGGCTGATCCCTCACCTTCCTCATGATCATTGATGCCCGAGGAGGTGAGATCTTGCATGGAGCCCCAGACCGAGGGTGATTGACCGTCATCTTGAACTTCTTCCATTTTCTAATAATTGCGCCAACAGTTGTTGCCTTCTCACCAAGCTGCTTGCCTATTGTCCTGTAGCCCATTCCAGGCTTGTGCAGGTCTACAATTTTATCCCTGATGTCCTTACACAGCTCTCTGGTCTAGGCCATTGTGGAGAGGTTGGAGTCTTGATTGAGTGTGTGGACAGGTGTCTTTTATACAGGTAACGAGTTCAAACAGGTGCAGTTAATACAGGTAATGAGTGGGGAACAGGAGGGCTTCTTAAAGAAACACTAACAGGTCTGTGAGAGCCGGAATGCTTACTGGTTGGTAGGTGATCAAATACTTATGTCATGCAATAAAATGCAAATTAATTACTTAAAAATCATACAATGTGATTTTCTGGATTTTTGTTTTAGATTCCGTCTCTCACAGTTGATAAAAATTACAGACCTCTACATGCTTTGTAAGTAGGAAAACCTGCAAAATCGGCAGTGTATCAAATACTTGTTCTCCCCACTGTACATACACACACACTACCAGTAAAAAGTTTGGACACACCTCCTCATTCAAGGGTTCTTTATTTTTACTATTTTCTGCATTGTAGAATAATAGTGAAGACATCAAAACTATGATATAACACATATGGAATCATGTAGTAACCAAAAAAAAGTGTTAAACAAATCAAAATATATTTTATATTTGTGATTCTTCAAAATAGCCACCCTTTGCCTTGATGACAGCTTTGCACACTCTTGGCAAGTCCTGTTGAAAAACAAATGATAGTCCCACTAAGCCCAAACCCGATGGGATGGCGTATCGCTGCAGAATGGTGTGGTAGCCATGCTGGTTAAGTGTGCCTTGAATTCTAAATAAATCACATACAGTGTCACCAGCAAAGCACCCCCACACCATCACACCTCCTCCTCCATGATTTACGGTGGGAAATACACATGCAGAGATCATCCGTTCACCCATACCGCGTCTTTTAAAGCCACGGCGGTTGGAACCAAAAATCTCCAATTTGGACTCCAGAACAAAGGACACATTTCCACCGGTCTAATGTCCATTGCTCGTGTTTCTTGGCCCAAGCAAGTCTCTTCTTCTTATTGGTGTCCTTTAGTAGTGACGCTGTGATGTGTCTGTTACTTGAACAACGTGAAACATTTATTTGGGCTGCAATTTCTGAGGCTGGTAACTAATGAACTTATCCTCTGCAGCAGAGGTAACTCTGGGTATTCCTTTCCTGTGGAGGTCCTCATGAGAGCCAGTTTCATCATTGAGCTTGATGGTTGTTGCGACCGCACTTGAAGAAACTTTAAAAGTTCTTGAAATGTTCCGTATTTGTCTTAAAGTAATGATGGACTGTTATTTCTCTTTGCTTATTTGAGCTGTTCTTCCCATAATATGGACTTGGTCTCTTACCAAATAGGGCTATCTTCTGTATACCACCCCTACCATGTCACAACACAACTGATTGGCTCAAACGCATTAAGAAGGAAAGTCATTCCACAAATTAACAAAGCACACCTGTTAATTGAAATGCATTCCAGGTGACTACCTCATGAAGCTGGTTGAGAGAATGCCAAGAGTGTGCAAAGTTGTCAAGGCAAAGGGTGGCTACTTTGAAGAATCTCAAATATAAAATATATTTTGATTTGTTTAACACTTTTTTGTTAATACATGATTCCATATGTGTTCTTTCATTGTTTTGATGTCTTCACTATTATTCTACAATGTAGAAAATATTAAAAATAAAGAAAAACCCTTGAATGAGTAAGTGTGTCCAAACTTTTGACTGGTACTGTATGTCGAGGATATTTATATTCAACTTGTCTTTCCATAGCAATACAATCCCCTTCCCTCTTAATGTAAGCCCATCACTTCCTGGCCTCCTACACACAAATGTACTCACCCACACCTCCGTTGCAGATATTGGATCTCTGTACATAGCCAAAATGTTCTTGGGGATCCAAGAAGCCCTGCTCATGCCGTGAGTAAGCACCTGTATTCTGGGGCAGCCACAGAATGACCAGGTCATCCTCCCTAGGGTACATCTGACGGGAGACATCACTGGCAGTAATGCTCGCTGACAAAAATAAGTTTGTTACGTGGATCAGCTTTGGGACAACATCACAATAGAATAGAAATCTGATACAAATAACAAATTGTATCAATTTTTACAGTATGTAGATTCAAGTGCAAGCTTAAAGCATTGTTGTTTTTAAATGGTTACCATAAGCAATATAAAAAAATGGGTTACTTCAAGAAGCTTACCTGTAAAACTGACATTCCAAACACTGTTGCTGTACTCATTTGCGACAACTTTTAAATTCTGAGTGACCACCTTTCCTGATTCCTTGTTCTTTAGCCATTCACCTGCAAGCTTTGATGAGAGAAGGGAATTTGACTTTAATAGAAGAGATCGACTCCAAGAGACGGCCATTAAACTGCTTTGTGACTCATTACTTACAACTCTAACATTAGCCAAAATGTCAATGCTCTTTGTAATGCTAGATTGACCATCCTTTTCAGTTACCTACAGCCTAAATGCACCATAGCAGAACAGAATTCACACCTAAATGAGTTACAATTATTTGGTAACAAATTGACTACTCACCTCCTCAAAAGTGTTGGTGAGAAGCAGGGGGTAAAAGGTCTTGTAGTATTTATCATAAGAGCTGAAGCTAAAGCCTACTGTTTCCAGGGGTAACTCACATACTTCAGAGGGTATACCAAACTGCTTGTAGTTGCTAAACATATCAAATGTCCATTTCAGGATGTGTTGAATCAGGTAGTTGGGGTCAAATCTGACGCAAACCTCCGGGTTGGGTATCTGCCTTTGGAAAGGGGCGTCAGGCCTGGGGTAGGTCTTAGAAGTGGAGGGCTGGGGGGTGGAACCTATGTTGCTGTGCTGGATTGGGCGGAGGGGCTGGCCAGGTGGACGGGGGAGGATTTGTTCGGGTCTGGGTAGTGGTTGTTTTGGTGGAATGGGTTTAGGTGGTAGTTGTGGTGTGATGGGTCTGTATAATAGTTGATTCAGTTGGAGAGACTGACCGACCTCTGGATGAGGAGGAGGTTGTAGTACACAGGGACTTCGTGCAGGCACGACTGGCCGGCCTGGCACAACTGGCCGGGCAGGCCTACCTCTTCCAGCAGGGGCAGAAGAAGCCGAAAATGAAGCATTGGCAGTCCTCTCCATCTCTTGCACCAAGGAGGCACTCCTGGAGCTTGAGGTTGCATAGATCTTGGTGGTGGACGGCTTGGCCTTTTTAACCGACATAGGGGACATTCCTGGTTTCAGGAACAAGCGATCATCGTCCTTAGCCAAGTTAGAGCGCGAGGGTGGCGGAGTAGCCGGTTTCTTAAAGGTCTGTGTGGCAAGTGGAGCCTCTTGCCCTTCGTCTGCCTGTTTAGGCCATGTCCAGTCTGAAGACCCTCCTTTTTCATCAAAGGGCATCTGGCTGTCTGAGTCAATGTCCATGTCTACAGGGTCCCGCTGCGTGTAGAAGAACTCTTCTTCTTCCTCCTCCTCCTCCATCTGCGAGCACATCTCCATGTCAGTTGGCTCCATTTGGGTGAGGTACATCCAGTCTGCGTCATAACCGTCACCTTCCTCATTGCTTTTGGAGACTTGACCAGATGGTCCAGGTGTGACATCATCATTCCTCTGAAAGTAAGGAGATATCTGCCTGTCCATGTTGGATGACACACTACTCACTGTATTGGATGATGCTGGTTTGTTCTCATTGGCTCTTGGAGAGCTGCGATTGAACTTCAGCTGTTCCTCATGACGGGCAGGATCTAGCTGGGAACACCGCAGGTCCTCGTCTTCATCGTCCGCCTCTGTAACAAAACTGGGTCGTTGAATCTCGTCAATCTTTTTCGGATTTCTCTTCATTGGCTCTGCCTTTGCAGAGGTTCCTGCTCCCGATGCCTGCTTGCTCTGCCTGAAGAACTGGAATTCCTGTGAGGCTAGCAGCTTCTTGTTACTCCCATTGACCACTCTCTTGTGAGGGGAGGTCACCTTTGACCTCTTGGTCTTTCGGGTTGGCTTCTTGGCCTGTGGTACATCGACTGTAGCACCGTGGCGCCTCAGCTCATCAACAGTGTCATGCGATTGCTGGGAGAGATTAAAGGCCTTTCGCTCCTTCTTCTTAAGGCCAAGCTTCTCTGCTATGGACACAGGCTCTGCAGCTTTTCTGACTTTTTTAGGAGGGACAATGGCTGGAGTTAATGACGTTTTGTGTGAGATGGCTGATGTGGTTAAGGAAGAAGGTGTCTCGGTTTCTAGTCTGTTTGAACGTACTGTTGAACTGCTTTTTCTCAATGGCGGTGTGACTGCATGGGGAGCATCCTTCACAGGCTCTTTGATTCGTTTTTCTACTACGGTAGGTTTCTTGCTCAGGCACTTGGAGGCCAATGGTTTTGCATCAACAAGAAGATTTCTTTTTTTGACAACGATGGCCCGTTTGAGCCCTTGTGGTGGGGTCTTAGGCTTCTCCAGCTCCTTCTCAACCTGCTTACAGGCTCGTTCAATATCCTCGTCATAGATAGGTTGTGTATCACATTCCCAGGTTGATAAAGGCTCTCTTAAAGTTGGACTCAAAAGATGTCTGACAGGGCTATCTTCTTTGGGCTTTTCGGGTGGCATGTTACTTTCTGAATCTCTGTTGGACCAGGCAGACGCCATATATTCCTGTGTTTCAAACTCAAACACCTGAGATTCACTCATGTTTCCGTCGTAATCACGGCAGGTACTGTGATTCTGGTCGGAGGTATCCGGTTCATTTTTAATTTGGGATGTTTCAGAAAAAGACCCAGTTCCTCTTGCTCTACCAACATTTAATGTTGCCTCGTCATCAGATATAACAATGACTTCTGAAGGAGGCTTTGGTGGTGATCGTTGTCGGTCAAATTGTCTAGAGTTTCCTTTACTCCGATCTTGTGAAGATTTGAAGCCTACTCTTCCTTTAAGATTACTTTTTAAAACAGAGAGGGGCACATTGTCCACCTGCTCATTGTCAACAGATTCTTGGGGGCATGGAGGGTCTCTGCTAATGCCTTGGTAGTTGGATGCCTCATCTCTATGGCTGGTGAACAGATTTTGAGGTTTCTCTTTACCAAATTCACTGAGCCCTACAGAGGTCTCATCTCTCTCAGAGTTGGACTTCTTGGTCATAAGCTGGCCAAGTCTGGATTTGATCACCTGTATTTTCTCTGGATCTGCCCTCAAGGAAGAGAACTTCTCTTGGGTTGGTCTTGAATCATTAGTCGGCTCTACAAACTCCTCCTCAGGGGTTAGGGGCTCCTTTTTCAGCAACGCTAGGTCTATGTCCCTGCCCCTCTGAACTGCATTAGAATCCCTACCACCAGATGTACTGCCGTCGACATAATCCCACAACCCTTCCTGTTTTATAGGATGGTTAAATTCAGCTAAGCCGCTAGATCCCGAGGTGTCATTGCTTGATTGAAGTGGTGGTGTGGTTGGTGCCACAGGCCCTGCATCAATGTTCAGCTGTTCGGGTGGAGGAGTACTTGTGGTTGGCCTGTTCATCATCGTCTTGACATAGTCCTTCAGACAGATCTGAAGCTCCTGAATCTCCGGCCTAATCAGCTTCCACTCCCTCTGGGGCCCTTCTCTGAGGTGCTTGTTCAAACGGTTCAGGAAGTGCTTGCACTTACTGTTGGGGTTCAGCCTGCTCCCTTCCTTCAGCAGGGACCGGATGATATGCGTGCATGCCTGTGGAACAGCCCTGCTAGTAGAGGCCTTTCGGGGTGCACTGACCCTCAATGAGGATGTGGAAGACACAGAGTGAGACACTGAACCTTCCGAGGTGTGGACAAAAGCATCACCAGGCAGGGTTGCACATTTCACCAACACGCCCACCCACTTGGGAGCGCAGTAATAAAGCATATTCATGCGGCCACTCCCCAGGTGCAAATCGATGATATGGACGAGAATAAGGGTGAAGAACTCCGTGACCTTGTCACATATGCGAACCTGGCGCTTCAGGAGATCCGTGCTGATCTCCCCACACAGGTAGTGGACAACCTCATTAATGTATATGACACTGCGTTCATCGAGGTCCATAACAGACTTCACAAAGGGGATGAACCAGAGAAATGTGCTGTCGTGCACACGCAATGCCTGGCCCATTTCTGAATGCAGGAGGTTGACCAGAGAACTCATTTCCTCATAGACCACACTGCTATCTGCACCATGTGAGCGTCTGCTACCCTTTTCCTACAAAATAAAATAAATAAATAGTAATACATAACATGGTATTACATAAGATTAGAGAAATGCATAGGAAGTTAACATACCTTCTACCAACTCAATGTATTTTGTAATATGACATTTAATAAAACCATGTGTACACCTTGAGTACCTCCATCAAACTAAAGGCCACTGCAAACAGATATACCCTACATTTTTTACTGTTTCACTCTGAGGTTGGGTTAATAATGTTTTATTCCTATTAAGACTGTTAGCAATAAATAACCTCAACACTGTCCCTGGCTCTTGTCTGGTAGCACATGAAACAAGCTTGGAATCCTTCTGTAAGAAAGATCAGGGAGAATAGCTTGAGTATGAGAAGAGCTTGTTAAAGCAGTTTGTTGTTCTGCATCGTGTTTTTTACTCTAAAAAGGTCATGTTTTGGGAAAGCTTCAAGTGCTGACTTAAAACACATTTGAACGCTAACCACAGATCTACATATTAGAGGAATTGAGTACAACTAATAACATACAAATGCAATAAATGGGTGTTACTACCTTGCTCACTTTGGTGTTACTGTCATAAACCATCTGACTGCAGGTCACCATGTCATCATCACATGTAGTTTCCGTTTTAACCCGTGATCTTCAGAGCAAAAGAAGAATAGTATCAACCATATGCTTAACTTCTAAGAAATAACAATATGAAAGAATTCAAGGCTAGATAAATAGTGAAACGTACATCATGGTTTGTTGTTTGATGCTCTCGAGCTCTGCAGAGTAGCTAGGTCTTCCTGTGATGGCCTGGAAAGCTTGGGTTGGCTCAATCGGACCCCAAAATTTAGAGCCCAAACAATCCAAGATCACCATAAAACACTGCAAGACTGGCCAGAAGGGATCCATCTCCTTGGATGGTTCTTCATCTGGGGAAATAAATGTTCACACATTATTAGCTATGTCAGTTAGGAAGGCTCTTGTGGAAGGTACATTTTTATCGGTGTTGGACTATGGTGACATCATTTACATGCGAGCCTCCACCAGTACACTTAAGGTGCTGGATGCAGTGTATCAAGGACTGCTTAGGTTCATCACTAAAGCAAGACCACTCACCCATTACTATGAAATACACAACATGGTGAAGTGGCCCTCCCTTCCAAAAGGCTTAAACACTGGAACATATTTGTGTACAAGGCAGTGCTTGGGCTACTCCCTACATACAGTGGCTTGAGAAAGTATTCACCCCCCTTGGCATTTTTCCTATTTTGTTGCCTTACAACCTGGACTTAAAATGGATTTTTGGGGGGTTTGTATCATTTGATTTACAGAACATGCCTACCACTTTGTGTATATATATTTTTGTGAAACAAACAAGAAATAAGACAAAAAAACAGAACTTGAGGGTGCATAACTATTCAACCCCCCCTAAAGTCAATACTTTGTAGAGCCACCTTTTGCAGCAATTACAGCTGCAAGTCTCTTGGGGTATGTCTCTATAAGCTTGGCACATCTAGCCACTGGGATTTTTGCCCATTCTTCAAGGCTAAACTGCTCCAGCTCCTTCAAGATGGAAGTGTTCCGCTGGTGTACAGCAATCTTTAAGTCATACCACAGATTCTCAATTGGATTGAGGTCTGGGCTTTGACTAGGCCATTCCAAGACATTTAAAATGTTTCACCTTAAACCACTCAAGTGTTGCTTTAGCAGTATGCTTAGGGTCATTGTGCTGCTGGAAGGTGAACCTCCGTCCCAGTCTCAAATCTCTGGAAGACTGAAACAGGTTTCCCCTCAAGAATTTCCCTGTATTTAGCACAATCCATCATTCCTTCAATTCTGACCAGTTTCCCAGTCCCTGCAGATGAAAAACATCCCCACAGCATGATGCTGCCACCACCATGCTTCACTGTGGGGATGGTGTTCTCGGGGGTGATGAGAGGTGTTGGGTTTGCGCCAGACATAGCGTTTTCCTTGATGGCCAAATAGCTCAATTTTAGTCTCATTTGACCAGAGTACATTCTTCCATATGTTTGGGGAGTCTCCCACATGCCTTTGGCAAACACCAAATGTGTTTGCTTATTTTTTCTTTAAGCAATGGCTTTTTTTATGGCCACTCTTCCGTAAAGCCCAGCTCTGTGGAGTGTACAGCTTAAAGTGGTCCTATGGACAGATACTCCAATCTCTGCTGTGGAGCTTTGCAGCTCCTTCAGGGTTATCTTTGGTCTCTTTGTTGCCTCTCGGATGAATGCCCGCCTTGCCTGGTCCGTGAGTTTTGGTGGGCGGCCCTCCCTTGGCAGGTTTGTTGTGGTCCCATATTCTTTCCATTTTTTAATGGTGCTCTGTGGGATGTTCAAAGTTTCTGATATTTTTTTTATAACCCAACCCTGATCTGTACTTCTGCACAACTTTGTCCCTGACCTGTCTTGGAATGACCTAGTCAAAGCTCCTTGGTCTTCATGGTGCCGCTTGCTTGGTGGTGCCCCTTGCTTAGTGGTGTTGCAGAGTCTGTGGCCTTTCAGAACAGTTGTATATATACACTGAGATCATGTGACAGATCATGTGACACTTAAATAAAGTCCACCTGTGTGCAATCAAACTAATTACGTGACTTCTGAAGGTAATTGGTTGCACCAGATCTTATTTAGGGGCTTCATAGCAAAGGGGGTGAATACATATGCATGCACCACTTTTCCGTTATTTTTTAGAATTTTTTGAAACAAGTTATTTTCTTCATTTCACCAATTTGGACTATTTTGTGTATGTCCTTTCCATGAAATCCAAATAGTAATTCATTTAAATTACAGGTTGTAATGCAACAAAATAGGAAAAACGCCAAGGGGGATGAATACCTTTGCAAGGCACTGTATCTTTGCTCCCAACTAACATCACAATCCCACAGCCTATGCTCACAGTCAGTGCTCTCCTTCACAGTTCCTAGGGCAAGAACTGAAATGTGGGGGGAAAAAAATACTATAACACTCTTTGGTCTTGGAACAAACTACAAAAGACCAAAAAACTGTAGAGGGTATCACTGTGTTTAAAGCTCTGATAGAAGAAAATGTCGTTGACCATTGCAAATATTTTGAATGAATTGTATGTACATGCAGACTTCTTCCTGCTGATCTCTTGCCAGGTCCCCCTTGCAAAAGAGGTTTCTAACCACAAGGGTATTTTCCTGGTTAAATAAAAGGTTACATTTTAATTTTTTACTCTCAAAGAGGAAGCTGTAGACAGCATATTAGCGCTACTGACCAGCTTCATGTTCAGTTGGCACGATGGAAATAGAAAAACGTTTTGAGACAGGCAGAAGATATAAAGTATATATTCCTTTACCCTCCATGCCACAGTCCATGGCATTAAGGATACAGTGCAGTATGTTGGCCTGTTTGTCTGGTCCCAGGAACAGGGAGTCCATAGCCTGGGCATCCAGCTGTGTCAGAAGCATACAGATACCTGGGGGTGTGGAGAGAGCTGCATAAACTGTGATGCTTAATATTGACTGCGTTGCTCATTAACAAGTTCTCCATTCACATTCTGTACGGTTTACGCTGTTACTCAATCAAATCTATACTTCACAAAAAAAATCTACGCAACATGTAAAGTGTTGGTCCCATGTTTCATGAGCTGAAATAAAATATCACCAACATTTTCCTTACGCACAAAAAGCTTATTTCTCTCAAATGTTGTGCACAAATTTGTTTACATCCCTGTTAGTGAGGATTTCTCCTTTGCCAAGATAATCCATCCACCTGACAGGTGTGGCATATCAAGAAGCTGATTAAACAGCATGATCATTACACAGGTGTACTTTGTGCTGGGGACAATAAAAGTCAACTAAAATGTGCAGTTTTCTTACACAACACAATGCCACAGATATCTCAAGTTGAGGGAGCGTGCAATTGGCATGCTGACTACAGTAATGTCCACCAGAGCTGTTGCCAGAGAATTTAAGGTTAATTTCTCTACCATAAGCCGCCTCCAACGTAGTTTTAGAGAATTTGGCAGTACGTCCAACCGGCCTCACAACCACAGACCACATGTTACCGCGCCAGCCCTGGACCTCCACATCCGGGATCATCTGAGACCAGCCACCCAGACAGCTGATGAAAATGAGGGTTTGCACAACCGAAGACTTTCTGCACAAACTGTCAGAAACAGTCTCAGGGAAGCTCATCTGCGTGATTGTCGTCCTCACCAGGATCTTGACCTCACTTCAGTTCGGCGTCGTAACTGACTTCATTGGGAAAATGCTCACCTTCGATGGCCACTGGCATCCTGGAGAAGTGTACAATTCACGGATGAATCCCGGTTTCAACTCTACTGGGCAGATGGCAGACAGCATGAAAGGCGTCATGTGAGCAGTTTGCTGATGTCAATGTTGCGAACAGAGTGCCTCATGGTGGCGGTGGGGTTATTGTGTGGGCAGGCATAAGCTAAGGACAACGAACACAATTGCATTTTATCGACGGCAATTTGAATGAACAGCGATACCGTGACGAGATCCTGAGGCCGAATGTCGTGCCATTCATCCGCCGCCATCACCTCATGTTTCCGCATGATAGCACAGCCCCATGTTGCAAGACTATGTATACAATTCCTGGAAGCTGAAAATGTCCCAGTTCTTCCTCACCACACATGTCACCCATTGAGCATGTTTGGGATGTTCTGGATCGACGTGTACCACAGCGTGTTCCAGTTCCCGCCAATATCCATCAACTCCGCACAGCCATTGAAGAGGAGTGGGACAACATTCCACAGGCCACAATCAACAGCCTGATCCACTCCATGTGAAGGAGATGTGTCGCACTGCATGAGGCAAATGGTGGGCACACCAGATACTGAGTGGTTCTGATCCACGCCCCTACCTTTTTTTAAAGATATGTGACCAACAGATGGATATCTGTATTCCCAGTCATGTGAAATCCATAGATTAGCGCATAATTAATTTATTTCAATTGACTGATTTCCTTATATGAACTGTTGCGTTAATATTTTTTGTTCAGTGTATAAAACACTGCTGTGGATCATATAACGGGTATAGTATTTGTTTGTGCTTCAGAAATGGTTAACTTACCCTCGAGCACATCAGTTGTTTCACAAAAAACATACTCTCTTGGAGAAATGTCTGGAAGACCCCAAATGGGAACACAGGGCAAAGAAACATACCCAACCAGTAGTTTTTGTCATTTTTGGAATCGTAAAGATGCGGTTGCAGCCATGTCATCTTAGTCGTAGGATCATAGGAGGTATCCATGTCTGGGAAGTTCTGGGGGATTCGCAGCTCGACATTGCAGAACATGCAGGAGAAGATGTCCTGAAGTTCATAAAAGTCGTCTCGGTCCACCTTCCCTAAAGACCTGGCAGCACCAATTGCCCACCGCCTAACCTGAAAGAATAAATAACAGCAGAAGTGATGACAGTAGACTTACAGAAGCGTTTGTGACCATGCCAGACAGACGAGCGCCTTAATAAGCTCTTTAACAAATATAAAGACGTGTTAGATATACAACATTTATTTTTTATTTAATTACCATCTAACCATAAAAGTCCCCATTTGTTTTTTGTATTTGTAACAATTCAGCATTTAAGTTATTACCGTCTCGTTGGGGTGGACGAGGAGGAGGTAGATCCCTGGATATTTATCCAACACCTGGAAGGAGTTATATTCCTCCATCTTACATATTGCCTCAACACACATTTCACCTGGAAAATAGAAAATGTAATCAATTTAAACCCAACAAGAGCACAGTCCAGGACTTAACCGAGCATGCCTCATTCCTAAATTCGTTTTGTGGGCTTTTATAGGTAATCCATCACCTAAAAAGAAAAAGAGTGCTCACTCAATTCGGGTTGTGCCAGCAGGTAGGGGTATTTGAGGACCTCTGACAGGGGAACACGAATATAGTTCTCGTACTCTGCGGGGTTGATATGAGGCACTCCGATTTCCCGGCCGTCCTCTTCTACATAGCTGAGGTCCTTAGCCGGCTGTGCGTTCTTTGCTGCATTAGAGAAGTGACCCAGGAGCCTGGACGTCTCCAACTCCCATAGCCTCTGTGTGTGTGTGTGTGTGTGTGTGTGTGTGAGAGTGAGAGAGAGAGAGAGAGAGAGAGAGAGAGAGAGAGAGAGAGAGAGAGAGAGAGAGAGAGAGAGAGAGTTTTTTGGGAGGGGGATAAGCGAGTGAGAGCGGGAGAGAGAGCAAGAGCAATTAAAGGGGTTGTGGTGAGGAAAGGAGTAGATTAATCGTAGGGAAGGTATGTGGACACTGGCTACAGTATTTCAAGCACGTAACTTTATTTGTGATCACACACCTGCCTATCCATATTGGGGTCTGATTTTAACACTCAGCAATGTGGATTGATCACCCACAAACCATATAGTGGCTTGAGAAAGTATTCACCCCCCTTGAAATTTTTCCTATTTTGTTGCATTACAACCTGGAATTAAAATGGTTTTTGGGGGGGTTATATCATTTGATTTACACAACATGCCTACCACTTTGAAGATGCAAAATATTTTTTGTGAAACAAACAAGAAGACAAAAAAACTGAAAACTTGAGCGTGCATAACTATTCACCCCCCCAAAGTCAATACTTTGTAGAGCCACCTATTGCAGCAATTACAGCTGCAAGTCTCTTGGGGTATGTCTCTATAAGCTTGGCACATCTAGCCACTGGGAAAGAGCCACTGGGATTTTTGCACATTCAAGGCAAAACTGCTCCAGCTCCTTCAAGTTGGATGGGTTCCGCTGGTTTACAGCAATCTTTAAGTCATACCACATCTTCTCAATTGGATTGAGGTCTGGGTTTTGACTAGGCCATTCCAAGACATTTAAATGTTTCCCCTTAAACCACTCGAGTGTTGCTTTAGCAGTATGTTTAGGCTCATTGTCCTGCTGGAAAGTGAACCTCCGTCCCAGTCTCAAATCTCTGGAAGATTGAAACAGGTTTCCCTCAAGAATTTCCTTGTGTTTAGCGCCATCAATCATTCCTTCAATTCTGACCAGTTTCCCAGTCCCTGCAGATGAAAAACATCCCCACAGCATGATGCTGCCACCACGCTTCACTGTGGGGATGGTGTTCTCAGGGTGATGAAAGGTGTTGGGTCTGCGCCAGACATAGTGTTTTCCTTGATGGCCAAAAAGCTCAATTTTAGTCTCATCTGACCAGAGTACATTCTTCCATATGTTTGGGGAGTCTCACACATGTCTTTTGGCGAACACAAAACATGTTTGCTTATTTTTTTCTTTTCTTTTTTCTGGCCACTCTTCCATAAAGCCCAGCTCTGTGGAGTGTACTGCTTAAAGTGGTCCTATGGATAGATACTCCAATCTCCGCTGTGGAGCTTTGCAGCTCCTTCAGGGTTATCTTTGGTCTCTTTGTTGCATCTGATTAATGCCCTCGTTGCCTGGTCCGTGAGTTTTGGTGGGCAGCCCTCTCTTGGCAGGTTTGTTGTGGTGTCATATTCTTTCCATTTTTTAATAATGGATTTAGTGGTTCTCCGTGGGATGTTTAAAGTTTTGGATATTTTTTTATAACCCAACCCTGATCTGTACTTCTCCACAACTTTGTCCCTGACCTGTTTGGAGAGCTCCTTGGTCTTCATGGTGCCGCTTGCTTGGTGGTGCCCCTTGCTTAGTGGTGTTGCAGACTCTGGGGCCTTTCAGAACAGGTGTATATATACTGAGATCATGTGACAGATCATGTGACACTTAGATTGCACACAGGTGGACTTCAAGTAATTACATGACTTCTGAAGGTAATTGGTTGCACCAGATCTTATTTAGGGGCTTCATCGCAAAGGGGGTGAATACATATGCATGCACCATTTTTCTGTTATTAATTTTTTAGAATTTTTTGAAACAAGTTATTTTTTTCATTTCACTTCACCAATTTGGACTATTTTTTGTATGTCCATTACATGAAATCCAAATAAAAATCCATTTAAATTACAGGTTGTAATGCAACAAAATAGGAAAAACACCAAGGGGGATTAATACTTTTTCAAGGCACTGTATGGTTCCTCCTTACCCTGTGCAGTCCAGGCAACTCCTCTTTCGCCCGGTGGTACACTACCACACACTCCAGGCAGAACCCAAGGTCCTCGTTGAGTGCCTTCTTTTCGTTGACTGCCTCCTCATCCTCTGCTAACAGAGACCCAGCACAGTACCTCTGGAGCAGTTTTGCAACATCGTCGCCCACTGATGTGCACCAACGGCACGTGCTCATCTACAAGGGGCAAGACGAGAGTGTTGCTAGACCTCGTCTACTGCCCTTGTGATCATTTGACATCCAACATGCAAGAATGTACTCCTTTGAGGACAATTAACTACTTGGTTCTGCTGACACACATCCACTTCATCAATGATCAGCATTGGCCGCCTAAATCATATCTGTAGAAATGTATTTAGTGATACAAACTTGTAAACGTTTATGACACTGGCATTTGGCTGAGCAGTCACAATAGATAACAAATGGATAGTACAGCAAGGTCACATAAATTCACTTTCAAGATACAAGTACCCCAGGGAGCCTTATCTAATAAAGAACCCCATTGAGTTGGGTGTGAAACCCTGGCCGTTAGGTGAGAAAACTGGCAGAAACCCAGCACTTCAAGGTCTGCCCCTGGGCCGAAAGCTTACTTTGGTATTTGAGACTAAGCTTACCTTGTCTCAAACACCATGGTTTGTAGTCACACATGGTTTGTGACAAAGATGTGTCAAGTTGGCATATTCACTTTAACAGCAGTTACAGTCCCAAAAACTACCGTAAAATAATAAAAGGCCAACTTCCTGTAATTATTTTAGATGGCTAAATCACAGTAACTAGGCCTTGTTCTAGCTAGCTAAATTACAGGAAGTAGGCATTTCTATTTTATGGTAGTTTTTGGGACCGTAACGTAACTGCTGTTAAAGTGAATATGCCAAATTGACACATCTTAAACAACTTACAGAAAACGCGATAGAAACATTTGCTGTTGACACATTAAAAAGTTGTAACCAAGTTAACGTTACTACTAGCTCCTAGGCCACTACTACCGTTTCCAGTGAGAGATTGATTGGCAATTTTAGCTAGCTGCCAGCAAATGCATAACGTTAGCCTAACAGTGTCAGGCACCATTTCACCAACAAAAGGGCTCCAATATCGCTTATATTCCATATGTTGGTGTGCATAACTGTCTAAATGTTGTTGTTTTTTAATCTGTAAACCATTTGCATTCGTCAAGTGGCTGGTTAGGTAGTTAGCAACTAGCAGCGCAGATTGTAGTTAGTTAGCTGGCTAACGAACCGTTAGCCTCTTTAGCTAGATGCACAACAAACAGGTACATTTTAAATGTAGCTAACTAAGGTTAGCTAGGTAGAACGCTTACTTTAATAGTTAGCTACTTGTCATTTTTTGCCTTATCAGCAAATGTCACGACATTCAATTTGTTCGCGATTTTGGAGACGTTTGTAGTCTAGCTTCCAGTTGTGTTGACAAAGTTGTCTGGCGAAAGCAAGGATAGGGCTCCCAGTGGCGCAGCAGTCTAAGGCACTGCATCTCAGTGCTTGAGGCGTCACTACATACCACCTGGTTCGACTCCAGGCTGTATCACAACCGGCCGTAATTGGGAGTCCCATAGGGCGGCGCACAGCGTCGTCCGGGTTTGGCCGGTGTAGGCCGTCATTGTAAATAAGAATTTGTTCTTAACTGACTTGCCTAGTTAAATAAAAGGTAACATAAAATAAATAAAATAATGTAAACATGTTGGCAAGACTCGAACCCTGCCGCCGCCTGGGAAGTCGTTAGCTGGCTACGTTGGTTAGCTAGCTACAAAGTCGCGTCTTGTTTAACCAAAACTCACCATGTTGTACAAGTGCTTAATCCAAACGGTGCACTAATTTAATTAATCCTGGTAGACACATATATTCCCAATAGAACATTCAATGACATTTCTCGCTACCGTGCTGTTTCCATGTAGACCGTTTACTCTGCAAACACACGCCGTCCCTCCAAGCAACAACATTCCCTGAGACAGGCCAGTGATGGTCCCTCTCCCCTGCTGCCTTACTTAACGCTTCTTCCTCTTCTTCTTCGGAATTTGGTTGGCGGATCGCATCCAACTTTTAGGTGCATACACCGCTACCTACTTTACTGGTGTGTGAGGCCATTCACCGCCTACCTACATTATATTCTTAAATACAAAATTGGGAAAAAGGATCAGTAAAATTACCCTACCACCTGTTAGCCCTATCTAAAAAAAAAAAAACACACCACCCATTCCACTATTTAACCCTATCTAGTCCTACTCCAGACCAACGGTCTGAGAGGATATATCACTACCACTCAACACATCCTGCAGCTGTTCTGCAGTAAATTCTCACAATCAAAATGACTTCTCTTTAGCTACAACCTCTATTTTCTGTGACTTTCGATAAAATCCACCTTGCTGAAGCACATATTCTTCCCATCACTCTCTCTTGATCTCTGCCTACCAGTGGAGGCTGCTGAGGGGAGAACGGCTCATAATAATGGCTGGAACAGAGCCAATGGAATGGCATCAAACCATGTGTTTGATGTATTTGATGCCATTCCACTAATTCTGCTCCAGCCATTACCACGAGCCCGTCCTCCCCAATTAAGGTGCCACCAACCTCCTGTGCTGCCTACAAGCAGCAATCCTCTCAGGACTGACACTTCCTACCTTGACCTTATCTGGTAACAACTCTGCATCAAAACTCAGCAACTCATCAAGCGGCGGGCGTTACAGACACTGGGAATCTTCAATTTCAACTGCTCCTCCTCAACACTTAATGCCACCCCTGTTATCATTCCTTTCAACGGCACCCTGCTCCGGAGAGCAAAGCACATCACAATTATTGTCCCTAATCTCGTAATCCAGAACGCCCTCTCCCTCTGGGCATAGGAAACACAATAAATCATCACAAGTCCTTCACCTTCACCAACTAAACAGTCCCCAACCTCTCCTCCACCCAACCTGACACCACATATAGATCAACCAAACAGCAAGGATCCATTCTCTTTACAAATCTCACTCCCACTGGGCTAAAATCATCCTCATCATCCTTGTGACAAGGCCCGAACTTGGCAATCCTTGCCGCAGGTACTTCCCCTTCACTCTCAACAAGTTCCATCTCTGAACTACTGGAGCACGTATCCCTGTTTTTGCACTTGACTCCGACCTTCCTCGCCTCACTACTTCCCTCTACACTCAACTTCTTCTCAGTAGTCATCACTGCACCTGCCACCACATTTAATTTATCCTCACTCTCGTCATGTCCCATCAAGCTCTTCCAAAAGTTCTGTGCGATCCTCCATACCATATTCACTCAAAAAATATTCCATGTCTCTCCTTTTTTTCTTGTCCATCATCTTCTCCTTCACCAGATCTTTCAGAAGGCCTGTTTATTCCCCACTCCACGTTTATTCATAATGTGCTCCACTTTCTTCCTTATTTCCTTTTCCGCCATCTTTCCCCACAGTGGTCTTCCCCCAACACCTGTCCGCCATCTTCCTTCTGCAAGGGAGGCTCTTGCCACCTTCCTTACTTACTGAGAAGTGGACCTAATTTATAGAAAAGTGTGCCTGACATAGCCTCTTTTAGAATCCGAGAGTGAAATACTCACTCTCTCGTCTCTAACATGTAGGCTCAGCATTCTTTAACAGTCTCATTACAAGTTAGAATGTTGAACAAACGTCATTTCAATTTACTTCACCTGTTGTCTGCAGATTTTGTCCCTATGTCTGAGGTGATCTGATACAAAATATCCAGAGGGAAGTGTTATCAACCTGACCTCAATACACTGGTCTGTATATCAGTTTGTGTTTCCAGTTTTTATTTTCAATACTGATGCAATTCGCATGTGACAAACACTTGCACAATATGGCCGAGCCTAACCGAAACACAGACCAAACACTTCCAGCTGATTGCCAGGAAATGTGTGTTTCGGTTGACTATGTTTGGTAACATGCGGCTATTATTTACATATTGCAAGAAATTGAAAATATAAGCGAAGCTACAGAACCTACTGGTGCCATAGAAAGTTGGGTAAACAACACTTTCCTGTGGATACCCCATCTCCACCTACCGCCAAAAGGACCAACACCATGTACAACCGGTAAAGTAGGTTAAAATATAATTATATTCAACATTCTGGCTTGTAAAGACTATTGCTTCAGTCAGACTGTAATTCCATGGTGTAACCATGGTAACAGGCTGATGTTTTTAGGTAAGGTCTGACATAGTACTCCGACTCAGGGACTAGTTCTTTAATACACAAATAAACACATGGGAGAACTAAATCAGCTGAATGAATATCGTGGTGTCCAAGTCAACGTTGCTAATTATGCTGTGATGATAAGAAGTCCGCTTACACTGTTCTTTGATTATAAAGATTTATTGTATCAAAGTTCACAGTATTAATTTACAGATATCTGCAGTTATATCTGGAGAGAAACGGCCAATCTGTTGATCTCATATGTTCTCTCCCTTCTTTGTTTAAGACATGGTATTTATATCCTATGTGACATAATATGGCGTGATTTTAATACACCAATCACTGGCTTTTCACATATCTTCCCATATCCTCTTTTCCAGGAATTTAGTAATGCTTTCCAGATGTTTCCGAAAGCAGAGCCAAGTTTCCTCTAACACACTTTTTGCAAACCTCAGCAAAATCATAGACCCTCAGACACTACAATACCATTCATGATGACATGTAGTAATAATAATACATTTAAAATGTCAGTACTATCTAAACATTTCGAGATACTATCAACAACAAAAAAGAGATAGTAGATCATACATATAGGATATGTTTCTTAATTTGTAGCATTGTGTGCCAATTTCTATATATCCTTGTTGCAGTGATCAGCACAGCAGGGCCGCTGGCAAACGTATGGCGAGCTGACATTTACCCCAGCACTTTTGGTTTGGTATAATAAAAAATATTGACAAAAAAGCGTTGAAAAGAGGGACAAAGTACTGTTGTTTAGACTGATTTGCCACATGATTTATCTACTCATGCACAATTAATCTGTGCTTCAATATGATCAACTGATAACAACCACAGCAGCAGATAACCTAGAGAAGCCTATTCGCTCTGATCCCCTCTGGCCAGGGGAAACGAAGCGGTAGCGCCAATATATTTATAGCCTACACTAGGTATTTAAAGCCTAAAATAGGCCCATTTATTTGTGTTAAGAAAAATGTTGAATGTGATTAAATT